AATTATATATATAGGCCCAGATTATAATTATATATAATCTGGGCCTCATATATATATACATGAGGCCCAGAAGGCCGAAACAGTACTGTCTGCAGTTAGATATAGCTCCTTGGCATACAAAGCTCTGCTTTCGTGTCCAAATTGAGCACTGTGGGATGAGTCATCGCCGCTAGCATTGTGCATAGCTCACTAGGCTCTTCTAGTTTGAGCACTCTGGCATGGCTTAGACAATACCACAAGTGTGGGATCGTTTGGGGATCCATATTGGTTCTCCCCCATCCTAGCATCAACACTGCACTGATGAGGCCCAGAAGGCGGAAACAGTACTGTCTGCAGTTAGTTATATATACATGTATTTTATTTTTCTCTTTTTGTTGTACCTGATTATTTGGATGTGACCGGAATAAAAAGAAGCAGAAGTTTGTTTTAATCATGTAAAAACTTTAGATGTACCCCTACCTCTGGTCAACAAAAGTAAATTTGCCATCCAAGCTGTGCCTAGAGATAAATTCTGTCACAGGTGGGGAATCCAACAAGTCAGAACTCTGTGGCATACTTGTAGGCTGAAGTTTTCCAATAGTTACCAAACAGCTGTTCTCTGAGGCATCTGCATCTCCTGGTGCACATACAGCAGTGCTGCCTCCAAAAGACTGTTGTGATGGAACATAATATATTATCTTCCTGTTTGACATATAGCCTTTGAGGAAATAGGAAGGAGAGGAAAGGGGTGGAAGGGGAGGGTGGGTGGGTGACTGGCACGCACTTCTACTTTTATTATCACCTAACAATCACATATTATGGTCACAAGAATAAAGAACTTGATCACCAACCAAAAAAAGCCCTTGATTGTTAACCAAATTCTCTGCATCAGCACCTTAGAGAACAGTATGGAGAATATGCATACTGATCTGAGGGTGTCAGGGGTCAACTACTAAAATCAGGCAAGAAGTTTAAGCAATTAGGAGGATATAAAAGTTCATTTGAAGATGTGAATCTTTACATTCTCATTTTAATTCATGGCCCCATACCTTAATATAACCAGTGCAGTGCACAATGGCATATTCATCATCTTGTAGCTTTAAACGATTGTCCTTCCCCCTTGCAACATTCTCACTCTCTTCTTTTCCACATCTCATGCGACAAATGAAGTTTCTTCTTGAGTTGGAATACATTCTTGACAGAGCTAAACAAAGCAAAGGGAAACAGAAATTGGTTTTTGTCAACAACACTTGAAGGGACAGAAAATTGAGTTATATCCATTTTCAACACTACTACAAAAAGTCTCCCTACCTCCATGGCTGTCCTTTTTCACACTTCCAGCTATACGGAAGATGAAAAAAATGAAGGCAAAAAAATCATTAACAATAAATAGTGTAGAAATAAAAAGTATCAAATCAATGCAACAAAGATTTGGAAATTTGAAGACCACTCGCAAAGATGTCACCAACATCATCTGACTTTTACCAAAGAACTACTTTGATAATGGCATTGTATTAACCTAAGGACTTGATCTGCTATACATTACTAAGGACTTGATCTGCTATACATTACTAAGGACTTGATCTGCTATACATTACTTACTCTTCAAGTCAAGGACCCTTCCTGCATCAGGGGACTCTGTAGCAGATAACTGGTCTTTTATTTTCTCTGTATCATCAGGATGGACAAGGTCAAAAATTTCCTGATTCATCCAAGCACTCTGTAAAACACAACAAACAAATAATAAAACAAACCTGAAAAATATCAAGTTTACCCCTGAAAAAAAAATAGGTAAAATAAAACACTCTTGGTTGCCAAGGGGCCATTTGCAAACTGGGGAGGAGACTTTGCAGGAAATGCTGTTAAATCTCCACAGTTTGTTAGGTTACTAATTTACATCCCTGGTCAACAAGGGACAAGTTGTGAAAATTAAATGTTTTGCCAAAAAACACAACCTAGTGACCATTTTGCCATTTGCCAAAAACACAACCGAATGACCCAACAAGGCCTTGAACCTGCACCAGTTGACCAAGAGTCTGTTGTGCTAACATCTGGTCACTAACAATGAAATTACAGGGAAAAAAAACATGGTTCCATTCCCTTCATAAATGATACCACATTCAATTGAGCTTTTGTTGTTTAGTCTATTATTGTTTACAATGTTCACCTAATGAGTTGCTATTTGTTTATATAACTGACAACAAAATTTGGAGATTACCTGAGGTTGGTTAAGGACTGGAGTTATAGAGTCTGAAACATACACCACAGTTCCAGTGCGGCAATTCACAACAAACAAGAAACCATCTGCTGCCTGTGAACATGAACAAGTTTGCAAGTTTGTCTTTTAATACTTTAGCCTTAAACATGTCTCCATCTTCAAGAAGATGCAAGTACAATGTAATTATGCTTCCTCCTTATAACACACATGCTAAATTTAACAATGAAAAACTTTTGTATTTTGAATCAAAAACTTAAGCCCTACCTCTAATATAAGGTGCTTAAGTTCTTGATCTGAGAGAAATGAAGGCTTGTATGATACATCACTAGGACCTTGGCCTTTAGACAAGAAAAAAAAAAAACACTTTATTAAATATGATCAGAAGACAACTAAAACCTCTAGACAAGAAAAAAAAACAGTTTATTTAATATGATCAGAAGACAACTAAAACAGTCTTTCAAAACAGTCTTTAAAATAAAACTAAAAAAACTAGCAGCAAGATCAAACCTAGTAGTAAATGTCAACATGTACAGTGGAGACCAAGAATTAAAGTTGTCATGATGTGATTGGCATTGCTTCTTTAACTTCCAGTTTATCTCAACCCATAAGAATAGGTAACTTTTCACATTTTGTTCCAACTTGGAAATGAACATCACTGTATCCAATAAATTGTCATACACAGGATTATTCTCTCCGCATGAAACAGAAACCAATCAAGGCACACTCTTGGTTTTTTAATATTACTCACAGACTGAAAACACACATGATTTGTTGTAACATACCTGGTCCTCTGAGAGATTTCATATAGTTCACAGCCATTCGAAGCACAGTGAGTTTATCTGGTTTGCGAGCCAATCCATTACACGATGGTACCATATCAGATAACTCGTTTATATAAGCATTCATTTTATTCCTTCTTCGCCTCTCAATCTCACTATGGTTCTCCCTGTACAAAGAAAGAGTTATAGGGAGATTACTGGCCAGGTAACAAAGGCAAAAGCTACAACATGACATAAAGTACAGCTCTTAATACATGCACACAAGTCAAACTACATATATAATCAAAAGGAAGAGGGGATTGAAAGTTTCGGTCGTAAACTGAAGGGGGGTGGTGAGATGCAATCTAGCTCTTTGACCAGCAGCTTCCATTTAAAATTTACTTTGACCACATCAGACCAAGGGTGAGGCTAATGAAAACTTAAAATTAATTGGGGACAATTTGACTCCTAGTTACATTAGTGAGTTGAGCACAAAATGGTGTGCATTCCCAAGATACTATACAAGTTTTATCTCACTGATGTGGCTAAATTTTTTAAGAGGAAAGAAATTGGTAGGTTTGTCTGTTTTCTGAATGATGATCAATCAGCTGAAAGTGATTCTGTATACTACATTCCTTTCACACAGACCAAAAAAAAATTATACATAAAAAAAATCACAAGTTTATGTTTAGTTAGTATGACAGTGCTCAAGAATATTGGGTAATAGTTTTACTTAAATTTACCCTCATATATTTACCAGGCAAACAAATTGCCAACCAGATTGTTTCACAAGTACATTCTATGCGAAAGTATAAGGAACTCTCGATTACAACACCAATAAGTTCTTAAAAGTAGTTTAAGTGTAGTTTCGTCAAGTTCTATTTTTTAACAGAGACTGTTCTATGATAAGGAAAATTGCATTGCAAATGTCTTGACAAAAAAATTGAAAACATCTGCGAGAGGAAACGGAATAAAAGAACATCTTACCACCGGCTTTTAAAATTACAGCTAACAATGCAAACGTTTATGGTAAAAGTGTGTTCGATTGCCATAAATGATATATACATATATATAAATATGTATATAAGGAAAAGAGAATTACGAGTCGTTTACAATAAAATGGTTTTGGTAGCTTCGAAAATGTTTGCTGAAATAAAAACGTGGATGGTAGTTACCAAAATCATGTACGTGACTAAAAAAAAGAAACTAAATACCTTGCAAACTTCTCTTTGTTAGACTCGTCCGACGTTCTGTAAACATTAAAAGAAGGTTTATTAAAATAAAACACTATTACGCATGTTGCACTTGAAGCTTGAGGAAATATCTTTGCCTAGAGATCGGGCGTAACTTTCGTTACAAACAAGAGATTTGCTACTAAACAAACGACATGTTCTGTAACGTTGAAATCACGACCGCTGCCCGACTTTGGTCAAAATAATATAGACTACATTAACCAAAAGTGCAAGTTTCGATCGAAAGGCAAACAATCATAGGAAATAGATAAACTTGAGTAATTCAATGTCAAAACAAGCATTCGCCCGCTGAGTCCTTTGTTTTCAACGTCCCTCCTGCCGAACTTACGACCTAATTATTCTGAATTATCACAACTCTTTCACTGCACATCAAAGTTCAGACACTTCCTGTGGAGAAAATGGTCAATTTTTCATTACCTGGGCATTTTTTGATCACCCTTTTCGAGATCATCATCATCCGAGTCTTCCCTGTACGGTGCAAAAAGTAGGAATGTTTGAGAAGACGTTGAAATAACGCACACCACAACCAACCCTGGCCAGACATAGAATACGTCATAACTCAATACACGTTTCGTTCGAAGCCCACAAGTAAAACTCACTCTTTGATCATGAAGGACTGATTGGCTTTTCTCTTTCGAAGTCTACCATGGGAAGACTTGTCCTGTATTCCATCATCTGAGCAACAAGCACACAAATTAATTGCCTTCTGCATAAGAATCAACGCCATAAGCCTGCTTGTGTATGCAGGCATCACTACAAATTTGTTAGCAGTTTACATATTTTGCAGAATCATCTCTCTCAGATTTACTCACCATCGTCGTTATAATCGTCCATTTTGGACGGGTCGAAGTCGTCTAGTGAATCCATTTTGGCTGCTGTTAGTTACACTTACACATTAGCAATAAGTTGGAGTTCCAAGCGAGTGAATCGGCAGACAACCATGAAAAGAGTCTACCTTAGTATCATGGCGGCATCCCAGCAAATAGTTTCTGCAAGCCTCCTTTGGATAACAGCCCGACCAAATTACCTCCGAATGCGACAAAAACCTGTAACAATTTCACAAAATAACAGCTGGAGCGAAATGATACTCTGTGGCAGGAGTCTTTCGATAAAGGAAGACAATCCCAGACTGGAAATTCACTATGCAACGCACTAACGACCAGACAATCAATTCAGTACTTAGCCAGACTCAAGCGCAGCTTCTTCGATATGCAGCCAATCACAAAGTCTTTTAGATGTGTTTTGTTCTTTCTGACACCTAATTGCCCTAAATAACCAATGGTAAGACGTGTTAGAATTGACACCGGTGAGGAAGAAAACATAAAGCCATTCGAAAATGATAATAACAAGGCCTTAATCATGAGTGCGTCAACTAGCCAACTAAAGCAGCTCTTATAATAAGAATTATAGAAACTGTTTCAACAGCTGTCTTCTTTGCTCTATCAAGCGTAAACAACACAGATTCGACTTTTTCTGTTTGGAAAGGAAGCGTTTTGTTTACCAAAATAATTTACGAGAGTTAGGCAAGATCTATGATAAAATAACAGAGATGCTTTGCATATCAGTAAATAAAAAATTAGCCGAGTGTGCTGCAAGAACAACTCAGTAAAGAACTATATTTTATAATGTGACCCCACTACCCGTTCGAAGTCACGCCTGCGTAGTTAGCGTAGAAGACTGGGTTCTGACAAGACGTGACTCTTAACACAACAGAAGCAGCTAGCGGCACTAATTTTTCGAATAAATTTCACATGTGACCCTGCTACCCGTTCAAGGGTCACGCCTGCGTAGCTAGCGTAGGAGACTGGGTTCTTACAAGACGTGACTCTTTACACGGTGGTTCGTGGAAATGCGTCACAGCTACCCAACAGAAGCAGCAAGCGGCACTAGTTTTTCTACTAAATTTCAAATGTAATGCCCTCAGTGTTTCGAATGTCGAGACAATAGATTCGGAACTAGTTAGTATTAGAGCTTTCACATCAGAAAGCAGAATAGCACACGACAGAAGGGCTAGCTCTCCAAACGTCACGCCTAGGAGCTTCAAGTTGACAACTTAAACAAAGGCCAATCATGACATGGTCAGCAGTTGATAAAAACGAATTATCTTGCGATACCCTCCACAGACGCAGCACCACAGTTTGTTAGGAAACTTACCCCCTTTATTCATCTGATGTAAGAAGAGGGCGAGTAAATTATCTACCAACTTTGATTCGTTTAATACCGTCCGTCTATTATGATCCGAAAAAGCCAATAATGCGATCACAATAACAGATAAATTAGGGGATAAAGGACCGCCCTCACTTTTTAGTGGAGGGAAATCTAGGGAGATGGGGAGAGGAAAAGCTTCGCTGTGTATGTTGTAATTTAAGCAGGTTTCGGCACCGCATTTTCTTCGCGTAGAAAACTATTTCGTATTTTGCGGGCTGAAATGCTTCAACGTGATTGTCACGTTTCTAGGAGAAATTATGCGCCAATCACAATTCGACAAAACTCAAGGAACCATTAAACACGTGTACATTATAAACCAATCACAGCCCGCCAACGCAGTTCATTGAGAGTTGTCAAATTCAACGTGTATATTGCACCTCACGTTACAGCTGTTTATTTCTTCCATGTTCCGTGTTGCTTCGTTTCAAAATTCTCCGCCATAATGTTGATTTCCACAATTTTAATCTCTCTATTTGCATCGGTGGCTCTCTGTTCAGATGTCATTGAGCTCACCGATAGCAGTTTTGCATCCGGTGTAAAAGACAAGGATATTATGCTTGTAGAATTCTTCGCCCCGTGGTAAGAATTTGTACAGTTGTTGATCATCATTAGATTGATACGCACAGCTTGCGAACATTTTAATTTTTCTTCATAAACAGGTGTGGACACTGTAAGAAACTCGCTCCCGAGTACGAGACTGCGGCTACAAAACTAAAGAAAGAAGACCCGCCAATACCACTTGCCAAGGTACAGCTTCATCGTCAATTTCACTCTTCCGTTACTTCGTTTCCTACCCACTGTAGATCCAAATCAATCTCGCGTATTGATTTTATTGAATGAATTTAAACGTGCGGGTAATATAACTATTGTCTGTTTTGTTTGTTGATGACTTATTTGTTCCGTGCAGCTGAATATGATTTTAATGGTCTTGAAGCACCAGAATCCCTTGAGATTAAGACCCAAACAGCTGAAAATTGTTGATGCGCGCCGTTTAGTTGAAATTCTCTGCACTATGATAATGAGAGAAATGGAATATTCCCAATTTATGCTTGTTAGATGTGGTCAAACTGTCGAAGTATCTTGGAAAAGTAAAAAAATAATCGCACGTTTACATTCAGGTTTTGTGTAATTAATTATTGAGTACATCACCCTGGTTATATATAATACATTCTCACGGTTCGAATCTCTGGTTTTAAACGAAATTGTATGTGCCAGTTTCTACACCTGACTTGCTTTTGGGATATGTAAATGCAGGCAAGATAATTAAGACATTGAGATACCATTTTCTAACCTCCAAAAAAAAAAATAAAATAAAGGAAGTATGAGTGCACTGCAAATTAGTCTAAGTTGACTCAACTGTTTGACAGTGAAGATGAAGCTGGATTAATTATTCAACCTAATTGTTTGAGTATATCAACAAAGTTGAAATGGTAAATTGGCCACCGGTACAATTATAAAAGCTGATGTTTCGAGCGTTAGCCCTTCATCAGAGTGAATAGAGGAATTGTGGGTTGTGTGTGCTTTTAAAGGCAGAAAATGGAGCTACGTGATTGGTGGGAACATGGCAACGAGAAAAACACGAATAAATTAATGGAATGATGTGCACCTCTGCCAATGTAATCTATTGCATAACTTGCACTTATTGCAAAAAGATTTACATCGGCGAAACAGGCAGAAGAGTAGGTGACCGATTCCAAGAACACCTTCGCAATGTGGAGAGGAATGACAAAGACACATTGAAACCATTCGCTAGACATTTCAAGTTACCTAATCATTCTAAGCAACATATGGCAATCTGCGGTCTTTCCTTACACTTAGGTAGCATGGAAAGCCGTAAAACTCTTGAACAAAAGCTCATCTTTCAAACTGGCAGTCTAAATCCCACAGGTACCAACCAACGCTTTTCATTCCACTAATTTATTCGTGTTTTTCTCGTTGCCATGTTCCCATCAATTACTTAGCTCTATTTTCTGCCTTTAAAAGCACACACAACCCACAATTCCTCTATTCGCTCCAACGAAGGGCTAACGCTCGAAATGTCAGCTTTTGTAATCGTTACGGTGGCCAATTTACCACTTCAACTTTGTTGATATATATATCCAAATTATTTCGTTACCCCCACCGACGCAGCCCCAAACAGTTTCTTTAGAAACTATCAGCCCTAATTCTTTGAGCATGATTTTTAAGTGATACTTATATGATTTAAAGAGGAGCTGTATTTTTATTTAGAATTTAAGCTTGGTGTTATAACCACCTTTTGAAGGTTGATGACAGCAAAATACACCTGCTTTATTAACCAAGTGTGAGGTCAAAATGGCTGGATATTGGCCAAGTTCTTTTTTTGTATTTTTATGGGCTGAGACAAAGTTGAGGTCCATAAAAATGCAAAAAAAAGATTGAGGTTAATATCCAGCCATCTTGACTGCATAAGCTTGGTTAATAAAGGATTTATTATATTGCCAAAAGATTTTGCTTTATTAAGAATTAAGAATGACTTGTTTACTTTGAGAGTTAGGAAAGAAAGCCAATTGTGTTGTAGCACAACAAACTCACTAGAGTTGTTTCTGTTTTCTTTGTTTTGACTATCTTCTGTTGCTTTTTGCATTTCCATCACCGAAATTGTCCAAGAATTAGGAAGATAGTTCTAATTCTAGCTTTTTCATGTGCAGGATCAATACGGGCAATCTTGAGTGGGCAAGATGGGCCCATCTTGCCCACTTGGGTAGCCAATCAGAACATAGGATTCACTTCACCTTTCCCACATGTGCTATGAGTGCTGTAATAATAGATAACTATCAACCAATCAGAGTGCAGATTATGATCATCCGCTGAAGATTAATCATACTAAAATTGTCAAACAGCTGTAGTGATGTTACTTTCCTTGGCAGTCATTTTTGGATTTGTCGCGCAAAACTCTCCTCCATTGGTTGGGAAAGATTGTTAGAGTGAAGTGACCACTGAATCACTGCAAAGGAGACTTGTGGTGACACTCAGCTTTATTGTCCAATCACACTCAATAGAGTGCAAATAATGCCTGAGATGAGTAAAAATATCACTCGGTATTTACACTCTAGAGAACTGGTTAGACAGGTTTTCCTGCATCATGCAAGCGATGAATTGGATGGAAGTTACAAAAAATGGGGGACAATTTAAATAATTTTTATGACGACAAAGAGTCGGAATGGCTGGCGAATATTGATCCAAGTTTATTAGATAAATGGAATAAAGAGAAGCAGTTAGGCAAAAATAAAATTTCATTATTTACTGAAGAAAATAGGAACAGCAACACGACAATGCACTAATTCCATTCTGCTTTGCGGTATACTTTTGTCGCACATTCCCTGTAACTAAATATCCACAAAATTCGTCCCCACTGAAATAGTAATTTAGCGTGTTGGATATTAAATAACTTATTAGATGTTTGGTGCGTCATATCGCTGATACGTATTGTAATGCAGCACAACTTGTAAAAATACTCAGCAATACTACACAACAAAACATCTAATAACTCCAGTCAAGGAGGTAATATAGCATGGGTGTGGAACAAGAGGTCACATGACCTTATAGCTGTTACATTATTGGATGAATGCTGCAATTTTCTTTTTAATTTACACCTGTTATAGGTTGACTGCACTGAGGCAGGGAAAGATTCTTGTAGTAAATATGGTGTCAGTGGTTATCCTACACTCAAGATTTTTCGCAATGGAGAAATGTCAAAGGATTATGATGGACCTCGTGATTCTGGTAAGTTTTGATAAATATAAAAGTTAATTAACTCAATGGATAGAACGCTGGACTGTTGTGTGGGAGGTCGAGGGTTTGAGCCCCGGCCAGACCAACACTCGAGGTCTTAAAATAATTGAGAAGAATATGCTGCCTTTCTATAATATCAAGAAATGGTTAGATATTCTAGTCTTCTTGGATAGGGATGAATAAATGGAGGTCCCGTCTCCTGCAGGGTTAGGGGTAGGAGACATTAATTTCCCATGCACAAGATTACTGTGTGATGGATGTCCTCCCCTGGGGTGGGATGGGTGGGTTACTGGGCCCGCAGTGATTGGCACAAAGCTGTTGCGGTTTCCCTGCCTGTCGGCAAATCTTGAAAATAAATAAATAGTGATGATATTAATTTTTGGCTTTTAAAGAAATTGTCTTTTTTTTTTAAAAATATTTTTGGGATAAGAGTGACTTTAAAGCAAGTATGTATTCCTCTCAGGTAAAAAGACTGCCATAAACACTAGCAGATGAGCAGCACCCCCAGTTTGGCAACTCATTTTGGAAAAAAAGCTCTAGAAAAGAAATCACAATTAGAGTTTTGGGAGAGTTGTTTTATATTGGTTACTTCATTGAACATACATCAGGATGCGCTTAAAACAACTTTGAAAACTGAGAATACTTTGAATTCATACCTATAATTTTTAGCTGCAATGGCTTAGAATCACCTTTACTGACTTAGACTTCCATTTGATCTAAAAATTACGTGGAATTGTAAGGTAATTATTAAGCAAGAACACATGTTGCTGGTATAATTGTCATATAATAGAATTACCATTCAGGACCAGAACAATTTGGAATTTATTTATTAGGGATACCTGCTTCATGAAACCTGACTACGACCTACTTGCTAGAAGGAGGTGTTTGTTTTTTCCACGACACTGCAACTGAATCAACATTTTGCAAGAGCATTAGTCATTTCTTTGACTTTTTTTTTTTTATGCAAGTCTATTTTAACCCCAATTGTAGATATATTTTGAACCCGTCAGTTTCTTTTTTGCAGCGGGTATTATTAAATACATGAAGAAGCAGGCAGCACCCTCCTCCCAAGGTTAGTATTTAATTTAACATAATTTATTACACGACTCGGGCAGTCAGAGGGCCAATAACTAAAATCAACCAATCAAAATGCTCTATTGCCGGTCCAATATTCTCTAAGTATTGGACCGGGCATTGTCCCGAATGGCCCCAAATGATACCGCACTTGTGTCCCTTTGAACTTCAGTCGTATAATAAATCTCTTATTAACCAAGCTTGCTCGGGACCGTACTGGAAGAATATCGGCTCTCGGTCTTTTTTGTACAGACCTCGCTGCGCTCGGTCCATACCGTCAAGACCTCGGACCAATATTCTCCCAGTACGGCCCTCGCGCTTGGTTAATAAGATATATTTATATAGCGCTAACTCCACTAATTGACCAAAGCACTTTACAATTCATAATATTAAAATAATTGTTTTATTAAAAACGTTAAATTAAATTATTCAATTTTATTAAATTTTTAGCTCCCTTTTAATTTTAAGCTGCCACGTACGCTTACCATATTTGTAGATTATGGTATATTGGCTGATATACCATAATGGCTAAGCCAATAAAAAGTCTTGAATTGCATTATCCAATGATCTAGTTTTTAATAATTAAAAATATCCTACTGGTAATAAAATATGAATAAATTAAAACCTATTTGCAGACTTATTTATAAAAATATCACAGTAAATCCTATTCCAAATTATCAGAAAGTTAAACATTGTATGCTTTTTTCAAAAGATCAGTCTTTTAAGTGTTTCTTGAATAAATTAATAGTATCTAAACTTCTAAGATCTAATGGCAGATCATTCCAGAGTTTAGGTGCAGCAACGGAAAAGGCCCTGTCTTTTGACCTCTTATTTGACCTCTTACCACCCACACTTTAGCTTGTAAGCTGGCTCTCATATTTGGGTTTTGCCTTACAGCCCCTATCACACACACAATTGCCTATTATGTCATTGGCAGCCCCTTATGGAAAAAGTTATTGATACAGGATTCCTGTGGTCCTTGAAAGTCCTTGAATTTAATTTTTTGTTTTCAATGACTTGAAAACCCTTGAATTTAGACTCAGGTTCATCAAAATTTCTGAAAAGTCCTTGAAAATAAGTGCAGATGAATCAAAGTTTTCTTTTGTTGCCGCTGCTAAGAGTGTAAGTTTCTAGCACAAATTGCGGAAAAATGTTTTCCTTTCAAATCCCATATGGGATTATAATGTTTGATACATGATTTTTATATACCATATTTATTGATCTATAAGCCAAGTGATTTTTTCCCAAAATTTCACCAAAATCTCAAAAATTTGAGCTAGAGAAGGGTTCTTGGCTTATAGCCAAGTGTTTTTCCAAAACATAATTTTTTTCCAAACATAATTTTTTCAAAACAGCAAATTCAAAGGAAACATAAAGATATATCCGTCTATAAGCCGAGATATTGCATGCAGAATTAAATAACAAAACAAGTTGAAGTTGGTCATTGACTTTATTTATGTGGTTGCTTCCAAAGGAGCAGTTTGTTGTTTTCAGCGTGTAGTAAATACGGCTTACTGTTCATCCTCGGTGTCGGTGTGGAATTCATCATCCATCTCCTCCTTATGTTCTAGTTCTGCCATTTCTTCCGAGTAGATTGCTTAATCTTCCATGCCATCTAGAGTAATTAACAATTCTGTGGGTTTTGAACGAGTATATAGATCTTGCAAAAGTGTTTCAAGAATTTTGAAACTGACCAATCAGAATTGCCCATTCCCATGATTGGTAAACAATCTCGTCACATTTTACGGTGTTGAAAGTTGCAATCACATGAAAAGAAAACTTACCTTGGCTTCTGAGCTCTGTAAACCAGTAAAGTGATCTCTCATCCAGCCGCAGATATTTCGGAGTGTAACGGCCCATCATTGTGCGTTTCGCTGATATCTCGAGCTCTCCTTTTAAGAGATTCTCTTTTGATCTTTCCTCTAGCGACTCACTGATGACTTACTCTCTGGTTATCTCGGAATTGTTTTCGATGGCAATGCTGCATTGAAACTCGTTTCTGTTTTGAAACTTTTACATCCATTTCAGTTTGTTCAGCTTATAGCCGAGTATTTTCAATTTACATGTTTTAAGAACTTTCCTGATTAAAACAGACCGAAGTTTAGGGTCTCTGGTCATAGCCGAGATTGGCTTATAGATGAATAAATACCGTATGTTGTACCTGATTGGTGCGTGAAAATGACCTTGGTTACCTAGCGTGCGAACACTCTGGTGCGCATGCTTGAAGTCACGTTCGTTGAACTTTTTGGCCAGTCCTGCATGCAACTGTTTTTTATTTCTATTAGCTCCTATTTAATGCAAAAAGCCCTTAAATTTGAGAGCCAAGGTCCTTGGAAGTCCTTGAATTGGGTTCCTGTTAAACTGCAAGAACCTCGATGATACCTCTGATCCTCAAGTAAATAAATTAACAAGAGGTTTGAAAAATTCTTTCCATACAAAAGTAAAACCTAAACTGAAGTCAAAATTAGTTAACCCTTAATCTCAGACCAGTGATCAAGATAGAATTTCTCATTACAATATCAGTACAGTTTCAAGCAGGTAAGTGATGAGATATGTAGAAAAATATAAATCAGGGGATTATTGGTTGACCCAATACCAAATTCTCCAAACTCACATCATAAGAATTGTATAGAAGATAGTAAGAAGATCGTAGTAGTAGCAAGTAGGATAAATATTGTAAGAAATATACAAATTTTTCTAGAGACATGTTTCGGCATGCTTATGCCATCTTCAATCAATAAGTAACTGAACGTTGATTGAAGATGGCATAAGCATGCTGAAACATGTCTCTAAAAAAAGTTGTATATTTCTTACAATAGTAAGAAGAATTATGAATGAGATTTGGGGAGTGAAAGGGTTAAGTGTAAAGATTGTTTCATGTGCTTATTATTGAAATGTGTTTATTCTTTTGAGTGTTAGAACAATAATTTAATTTCTTTTTTTTACAAACTGGTTTTCAGGGTTACTGCACTCTTTGAAAGTCCTTGAATTTAAGTCTTTGTTTTCAAGGACTAGAAAACCCTTGAGTTTAGTCTCATGTTCTTGAAAATTTCCGAAAAGTCCTTGAAAATAAGTGCAGATGAATTGAAGTTTTCTTTTTTTGTTGGTGTTGAAAGTGTAAATTTCTAGCACAGATCACAAAAAGTAGTTTTTCTTTCAAATCCTGTGTCTAATTATGATGTTTGACATGTAACAATGAGCCATGTTCTTTTATTTCTGTGAGTTCCTATTTAATGCAAAAAGTGCATGAATTTGAGAGCCAAGGTCCTTGAAAATAACCTAAAAAGTCATTGAAAGTCTTTGAATTGGGTTCCTGAAAAGGTGCAAGAACCCTGGGGTTTAGTTTGTAGTCTTGTTTCTTTGGGTGTGAGTACTATTAGCTTACATTTTTTGCAGAAATCAATGATCTGGAAAAGATGAAGAAGAAACTTGATGCAATGGAATCTGCTCTTGTTGTTGGTAAGTTGCTGAATAATAGTTTGCTCTCTTTCTTTTCCTGTTTGTTTGGTTTGCCTAGTTTTGCTTTCCACCATAGACCACTTTCATAAATGGCTGCTGGATTAATATTCTTATCAATAAAGATTTGGAAATGCAAAGACTGGCAAAAACCAACGATAAAAATCGATGTTTCGGTGTCATCATGACGCCATTGTCAAGGAGAAATAAAAAATTACAAAGTTTGTGGCAAGGTGTAACACTAAATTAGCATAAGTAAGTATATTAATATTAATATTCTTTTGTTTAAATTTAAATTAGCCCTTATGGCCTCATTCTCCAGTACAAAATTCAAAAAAATACATTATCTCAAGTGAGGCCAGAAGGGCTAATTTAAATTTAGACAAAAGAATGTTCATCCAGCAGCCATTTATGAAAGTGGTCTATTGCCAAGCTACCACAAATGGAAAATTATTTTTGCATTTTATGATATGCTAAAAATGAAAGTTTGCAGAACTGTCACATTGTACATTTTAAAGGTACGGGTACCTTATTTTAATACGCAATCACTAAAGGTTATGGGTCCTAAATGGTTAACTTTGTAGTGTGTTTTCTTCTGTTTAGATATGTAAGTCTGTCTGCACTGCAGCATTTTACAACTTAATAAACAATCTTTAAATATGTAGAGAAAATGAAGTTTGCTAGTTCATGAGATTTTCCAGAAATGTGGAACCATCCTTTGCCACTGACATTGGTTTTGGAATGTTTAAAAGTTGATGCAACATTTTGAAAACCTTTGTTTACATGGAAAAACTCACAGGCAGAGTGGGTTAAACTTGATGCTCTTAAAATTAATAGGCTTTCCTGAAAAATTCTTTAAAATTTTTGGAATTTTTAACTTGTTAAATGAAAAACGTTGGGAAACTGTACATGTTTGTTAACAATGGTAGCACCAAACATTGTCATGTGACTTACTTTTGTAACCAATTTTGTAGGTTTCTTTGAGAAGGATGAGGACCTTAAAACTGAATTCATGAAGATAGCTGATGAAATGAGGGACGATTACTACTTTGCACACACAACAAGTGAAGAAATTTTGGCAGATTTGGGCCATAAAGAGTATGTGAAGCATTTTGATTTTGATTACTCTAGACTGGTCATAGGGTCATTAAAGCCACATCTGGCATTTTTTCCTGTAAACAGTCATCTATAACTGTGGAGGGACTGTTCCATGTTTTTTATTTACTAAATACGTGCTTTTTCCTTTCAGTCAAGTGGTTATTTTCCGTCCCGCACACCTTCATTCAAAGTTTGAACCAAACAAAGAAGTCTTTACAGGAATGGTCGATGCTTTTTATATCAAGAAGTTTCTCAAAGCTTCAGTCCATGGACTCGTCGGTCACTTGACTCCAGATAATGAAGATCAATTCAAGAAACCCCTGTGTACCGTTTATTACGATGTTGATTTTCAACTTAATGCAAAAGGTACTAACAGTTCATTCTATCTTGTCTAAAATGCAACCATCTGTGCTGAGCCAGGTGAAAAATGTAAAAAAATGAGACGATAAGATGTGTTCTGAGCAAAGAGGGATCCCGATCCTGTTTCATGCACAAAGTTAGGAAATGTTCAAACATCACTTTTACTTCAAAATCTTTTTTTTTTATGTACATCACAAATTAAAAGGGGAAAACTGCAAATCTCAGTGGGCCTGCCTTTTTGTAAAATTAGTGTATCACGGATCAATGTTGTGCATACTAGCACGTCAAGTATAAATCTTTTGCCACCGTTCTTATGCTTTGCTCAAAGGTTCAGTAGCTGCCAATTGAAAGTGTTTTTTAGTCTTATTTCTTACATTTCCCTACCTTGATTGTAAACCCTTGTCTCTAAAATTTGGCCAAAGAGCGTAGTATTATCTTCTCCATGGTGCAGATGTTGAAGTGACTTTTGATTGCCTGATACAGGTTCTCAGTTAGAGAAGATAGGCAAAAAAAAGTGGCTGAGCAAATGTTGGATAAATTAACAATGTGTAGCTTCAGTAGAATAACCAATTTCTTGCTCCAGAATGTGGGAAATGCAGATGATTTTTTAATTTTCATGTGGGAGCATGTCTCTGCCTCTTATCTCGCTTTTTCTACTCACTCTGTTTCATATTGAAAAAAAAACTTGTTTATTTGCCAATGCATAATGAATGGGAACAAGTGGTTGACATTTACAAGTAACTGCAAACATCAGATAGTCTTTAAAAGGTATATAAAGTTTTAGATCTGTAGGCTTGAAGAAATGCATTCTGTGTTAGAGTTCCCAGTTACACTTTTATATTCAACTTGTCGGCAATCTTACCATCTGCAGGTACACGATATTGGCGTAATCGAATTCTGAAAGTTGCTGCCCAGTTCAAGAACAAAGTGATGACCTATGCTTTTGCATCCAAGAGTGAATTCTCTGGAAAACTTGACAAATTTGGTTTATCCTCTGAGGGTAATGATGTTTTGGTAGCTATAGTGAGTGATGATGGAATGAAATATCCCATGAAAGAAAAATTCAGGTAGATATATACATTTGTGGGCTGTGGTGTGTTGTGCTCTACAGTGCTTTTTTTTTTCTTGTGCTGTGCTTTGTGTACAAACTCTGTTCTAACCAAGTCCTCCTTTTGACACAAGTTTGGTATTGACAAGAGTTGTTCATTAACCCTCTGCATTTTGCAACATATTACTTTTACTGCTGTACTCTACAACTTACTATACAACATGTGAAAGTGTAGTGTTATCGTTCAGGTGAGGGTACTCCTGAGAAGGACTGTTGTTGGTTGTAGTGACTGACGTTTCAACAACCTGTGCCAATAACATCAGGGCAAAACTGACCAATCATTTTACATGAACTGAAATAAGAACATTCTACTGACAACAACTATTACTACTTGACTCTGATGATGACTTCTGCACAGGTTGTCGAAACATCAGTCACTACAACCGACAACAGTCCTTCTCAGGACAACACTCGCCCGGACGATCACACTACACTTTCACATGTTACCCCTGGGTTCAAGCCATTTACTGCACAACTATACAACAGTAAGCACATGTAGTCAAGGATTTCCTTTTATTTAAGTTGACCTTCCTAATCCACTCCTCCTGGATATGGAGAATTTGGATGCTGATATTAGGTGGTAAAGGGTTTATGGTTGTTTGACTTCTTCTGCTGTTCTTCACAGCCTGACATCATGAATCGCTGTTTACTTTTCAGTGTGGACACCTTCAAAGATTTCCTCACCAACTACTTTGCGGGAAACATTGAACCTTACATCAAATCTGAGCCAGTACCAGAGACCAATGATGGCCCTGTGAAGGTAGGGTGTGGGTTATGTTAATGTAAATACCCTCATTAGACAATTGACTACTATTTATAGAGGTGAAGGTGGCAAGTGATGTAAATATCTGCTGCTAGCCCCTGACACAGAGGTGAAGAGTTGTTTTCATACATATCAAAAAACAGTGAGATAACATAGCAGAGAACGATGATTTTAACTCATTTATTCTTACAACGATTGCAATATTTTTGGGCTCAAACCCTGTGTGAGTTGTTCAGAGCTGAATAACAGAGGAGTTCGAGTGGCCAATCAGAGGGCACTTTCAATGCTATTCACTGTTTTAGTATTTACTGACTACCCCTGCTAGGACTGTTGCTTATATTTTTCTAAGTACAAGAACACTGAGTTGTCTATTAATATAATGTATTAAAAGTAGTGACTAAATTTTTGGTCATTCAATGGTTGACCAAGACAGAATTTCTTCTTACAATATCAATACAATCGCAAGCAAACAAGTGATGGGAATAAAGAAAAATGATAATTATAATAGTAATAATAATAATAATAATAATAATAACAATAACAATAATAATAATAAATTTATTTATCTTTTTCATTCCACTAATTTATTCATGTTTTTCTCGTTGCCATGCTCCCACCAATAACGTAGCTCCATTTTCTGCCTTTAAAAGCACACACAACCCACAATTCCTCTATTCGCTCCGACGAAGGGCTAACGCTCGAAACGTCAGCTTTTGTAATCATTACGGTGGCCAATTTACCATTTCAACTTTGTTGATATATCCAAATTATTTTGTAATTTTCACCGACCTCCATAAAGCGGTGGTGGTGATCCTTTACTGGGTCCAAACCTCTTTTTCTTGCCCTCCACCTGCACTGAACGGTCACTTAACCCTTTTCATCCCATCATCAGTATGCATATTCTCCATACTGTTCTCTATACCTTTCCTTGGGTGCGGATAAGGAGAATGTGTTAAACAATCAAGAGCTTGTTTAGTCGATGATCATTTCCTTTACTCCCAGGACCTTTACTCTTGTGATCCTAAGAATAATCTTTTAAGTGAAATTTGATCTCTGTTTATATCCCGAAATCAATGTCTGCAGTAATTTTTAGCAAGTTTTTGTATTAAAAGTGGTCAATTCTGGTTTAAAACTGCGTTTCGTATGGTTTTTTATTATTATTTTTTATTTATTTTTATTTTTACAATACCCCTATTCTGAGGAAATTGTACGAGTCGTCAACCTGTGTTTAGCGGTCACCCCTCCATTCCCCATGGGTGAACGTTTAATTAAGGTTCGACTGTATGTTTGTTGATGTTGTCTTTTATTTTATATGCTTATTTATTAATTGATTTTTCTTGTAGGTTGTCGTTGGCAAGACTTTCAACGAGATTGTTAACGATGAAACAAAGGATGTTTTGATCGAGTTCTACGCTCCATGGTGCGGCCATTGTAAGAGTTTGGAACCAGTCTACAAAGAATTAGGAGAGAAGGTCAGTCACATCACTACATGGAATTTTGAAAGTCAAATTTTCTTTAGTAAAAAGAATGTTTTAAAGAAAGAAATTTACGTTTCTTTTTAGCTGGCTGACGTAAAAGACATAGTTATAGCTAAGATGGATGCCACAGCAAATGATGCACCGTCACCTTACGAAGTTCGCGGGTGAGTTGAATGCCGAGACAACCGGCTAGTGCCTGTTTGCTGATTTTACTGAAAGAGTCTACTTCCTTGTTTCTGTTTTTCCTTTGGTCTCTAAAATGCATTTAGAGACGTTGGTTCGTCCGTACGATTTTTTTGTGACTCGTTCGTTCGTATGCCTGTTTGCTTGTTTGTTCATTTGCTCGTTTGCTCGCTTCTCTTTCGCTCGTTTTCTCATTCGCTAGTTTGCTCGCTTCTCGTTCGCTCATTTGCTCACTTGTTCGCTTATTCGCTCATTCGCTTGCTTTCCCTCCGCTTATTCGCTCGTTTGCTCGTTCGGTTTTTCGTTCGTGCGCTCATTCGTTTTCTCGTTATGTGGTTGTTTTGTTTCTCCCGGCAGCGTGTTACATTATGTGTTAAAGAGTTGCTGTTATGGCGGTTAGCCTTTTTATGCTAAAATGTACGAAGAAACTTTGTATAACGTAACAGACTTACCTCACTGTGCACAAGTTAGAAACAGTTTAGCAACGTTTAATGTTTCGTGTCATCTTTTCTTTGCAGTTTTCCAACAATTTATTTTTCACCAATGAACAGCAAGAAGACGCCTAGAAAATACGACAGCGCGCGAGATTTAGATTCTTTCATTGAATATCTAAAACGTGAAGCTACGAATCCATTTGAAGTTCCCGAGAAGAAAGAGAAAAAGAAGAAGAAGAAAGACAAGAAACAGAAAGATGAACTTTAAACTGTGGTCCCTTCAAACATTTTGTAAAACTAGATTTAACAAATTTAGGCTTTATCTAACATTGAAACTTTTTTATTCGTAGGCGTGGGGCCTGGAACCTAATTCTCCCAGTCCCACTCCTCCCTCCCTCCCTGTCTTTGTAATTTGCGGTCTGTGGTGTAACTTTTAAATCTCATTCAATGATGTTACTGAGGCGTGAACTATTAAAATATCCTGGTTCTGTTTTAGATTTATGTGGAATTAGGGTATATTTTGGCTGTGACATTGTATATGATTTGTTTGGAGATGTGCCTTTTTTTGGTGAATTTTTGTATGTAGGTGGACTTTCAGGGGCGTTTACGATTTCATGAATCCGAAGGTTCGTCGGAAAAGTCCGGGAATGGTCGCGAAACTGCAAGCGTTAGTGGTCTGCTGTTTACTTGAAATAAAACCAGGTGTCGGAAGCGTGGGAATATGCCCAACTGAATCTGATTGCCACTATAAAACGATTCTTCAAGGAGATTGTTTCAAGGCAGACATGAAATGAAAACTCTCCGCAAACGGCTATTTAACCCTTAAGTCTGAGGAGAGCTGTTGCTTTAACTTGTTTAAAACCGGGAATAAAAATATTGAAACATACGAAAAGTTCCCACGGTGCTACTGGAAAGTGGGAACTGAGTCCTCACTGTTTTGAATTCTTTTCCCAACCGAAAAACTTTTACAAATGCTTTTACGCCCTGTATTTAACCCCTCCACATCATCAACTAAAGTTACACCGGTTGAAAGAAAAGTGCTAATGGCTATTACGTTTCAAGGTCGTGTTCTTGCGGTAAGACAGAATTGCTACAACGGAACTTAGTTTGACCGCGTTCATGTAGTTCGCTTTGTTATAAAAACCGAAGTTCATCAGTCTCGGCGAAATCGCAGTTAAACTGAATTACCATCGTATTTATGGCGTGCCTAGTACTGCTTATGAAGCTAACAGACCTAGAACTGTGCCACGACTGAGGCTAAAAGGCTCAAGAAGCAGGCGGGACTCGTTCCACAATCTCATCATGATAAATATTTACACGCGTAAGCAGTCCCTGGTCACCATTTCTGGGCTTTTTTGAAGGCTGCAAAACTCCAGAACAAAAATTTATCTTTAAAATCGGCACTCGTAATCCCTTCAGAATCAAGGAACGCTTTTCATTTAACTAAATTCTTCTTGTCATCCTCTTAACCATGTTCCCACCAAAAGTATCGGAAACACACAACCCATAATTTCCCCATTCTCTCTGACAAAGGGCTAACGCCCGAAACGTCAACTCAGAAACTTTTTACGATTGCTATTTCACATTATCAACTCGGTTGATAATACTAAATTACCTCGTCCCCTCGGTTATACTTTGTAACATTGGATAGCCTTGCGCGTGAGTTGGCTTACGTTGTATCGTGGTCTAACCACAGAGCTTCGCCGCGAAATAACGTGTCTACCATCTTTCAACGGCATCCAGCCTTAACTTAATACAGGTGAAGATATGATCCTCGCAGATTTGCTGCAATCATGATGGAAATTACAGAAAACATGCCCAAAATTTTCAGTCTTCTACGGCCGATTGGAACCCCTGCAGATATTAGTTAGACGCTATTATGTAACTTAGTTCAAATGACGAATGATTTCTTTGTTTATTTTCGTTGTGGTTGTTGTTGTCGTTGTTCTTTCGCTGTTTTGACGGTCAGCTTACTTCTGTTCTTGTTTATTTAAATAACTGGCCAAAAACGAGGGACCTAAATGAAGAACTATTGGTAACTGTCACGAATGAGTTTGTTATTTTCGTGTAGTAGCTCTAAGTTTAAATCACCACAGGATTCCGGGGGAAAATGAAGTCCTTCCCCGTCTTTTCTACTTCCGCCAAAATCCCCCACTAAGCTCAAAGTCCCTCACAAAATATTCTGAATTGTCATCCGGTCATTGTTTTGAAACATTGTGCTGTTATGGCGTGTTTTATCGCCCAATACCGATTCTGACTAAAGCCACGCGGGAGTCGACCGGAATAAATAAAATGAGCGCACTTCCAACCCAAAAGAAACAGATTTTAGATTTAATAAGAATATTGTGTAGTTCAGTTATTTACTAGATATTTATAATAAGCGTTCGTCGAATAGAGAGAGTTCTTCATTCATACAGTAATCCAGGGTAAAGTAAGCCCTTTATTTCAGATATCTCAGTTATGTGAGATAGAAAAGCGAAGTGATTTAGAGATTCAGTCCTTCGGAATATCGAGGAAGTCGGCCATTTTAAATTGTAAATATTTCTGAATATTATGCCTGATTTAAAATGTTTACAAAATTGTTAACAACGGCTCATTCGTAAGCTGTGACCTTGCTACCCGGCACAATATTAAGAGAGAGGAAGACTTGAAAATGTTTTTTATATGACACCTTTGTGATGGACATCCGGCTTAAAAGACGATGACGCACTTTCAGCGTTTTCGTGTGATAGCCGTGTAAGCCTTCTAAAGGTGGAAATACGGCTAATAAACAAATTTTCAAAGCAAAAAGTCACCTTAGGTTAAGTTTCAGTCACGCCAATTATTAGAATTTTAGATTGCATTTGGTTAATTGAATCGCGCTTTTTTAAAGGAAGTATGTGGTCTTTTTTGTAACAAAGCGTTGCAATTTTATTGCAGAAGAACTCGGAATAAACATCTAAGTTTTTTCTTGTCCTGAGATGCAGATTAAGTGGTTGAAAAGGCCCCCAGCCTAGTGACAGAGGAAGAGGCTTCCAAAATATGAAAAATACGACGATAATGCTTTCGCTTAAAATACACTTCAATAAATAGCTGTCCGCCCAGTAAATTTTCAAGTTCCTTCGTGTAGAAACGCTTCCAGTGGCGTTTTAGAAGCCACAAAATACAAACTGTTGTAGAAAAAGGAAACAAATACCTTTCAACTCGTGATTTTATAATCCTCTTGTCTCTGAAGCTCGCATTATGGAGAAAAAGGAAACTTTTGGTAAGATTCATTGTATTAAGTACTAGGGAAAGTCTTCGAACCGAAAAAAGAACGTTTTTGTTTTTGTTTGGTTTTTTATTTTGTTACATATTTTTTTGTGATTTCAATTAAATAGTGGGCAAAATCTTTAGCAGCACATTTTATTTTTGATCGTTTAAGACAGAAAGTGAACGCATGCAATTCGGGCTCAAGACATCACGCGATGTCTACAGATCCGATTGTCAATAAGCGCCAATTACGTTGGGTCATTTTGCTCCCAGCTCCCTCCCAGTCCTTCGAAGGCTTAAAAATTTTCAAAGTGCACCCGTACATACGTTAGTGATACGCTCAAGCATTTGCTGATTTTGGCTACGTAAAGGAAAGAAAATGAGAATCCCAGCGAAACTTTCTTAAATGTCCACTTTAACCCCAAGCTCTCCTGTAAAGAATTCAAATAGTTGCAAAACTGTGGCCAGAGTGAGAATTGGATGATGCATAAACAGCTTAACGCTCTTTGATTTCAGTTTTACGTTTAATCCGGAAACGTTAAAAGAGGTTTCTTTTAATCCCGAGAAAACGTGCCAAAGGGGCTTATAAACAACTTAACAAGAATTTAACACTTTTAAATCCAAACTTTTGCTCGCTGTCAACAGAATTTTGAAATCTAATTTTTAAACCGCTTAAAACTTGGAAGCCATTTGACTTCAACATTTTTGAGGATTAACCTTCTGGGCGGGGTTCATGCCCCAAACAATCTACTTAATACGCGTTGAACAGACTTCCAGACAGAAAAATTATTCTTAATTCGGCTGTTTGTTTTTCACACTTCTGCCAATCAATGCACTCCTGGTCATTGTAGATCTGCAGTCTTTTCAGGCTGACAAATTATTGACGCGGGTTTGTTTATAATTATACTTCTGGCAAAATCTTGAAGTACTTTTGTGGTGTTCTTTCAAGGAGGCCTGCGTTCCGTCGAAGAGCCCATACACGTCGATGTCAGTTAAAAAATTCACTTGAGAGAGAAACCAGCTTTGTAAACTTACAAAGCTGGTTTACAACCCGTCTCTTCTCTAAGAACGAGGTTTAATACTGCAGTGGTCTCAGCGAAAGCTGCATAAAGAATACCAATTGCTAAGGTGTCACTTCGGGAAATAACACTTTCCAACATTTTAACAAATAGTCACAGCCTCTGGGCAGCGGCTATCGTCCACATTCGGACTAAAGAAATACCATTTGCAATTGCCGGCTTGATATCAGGATAGCTACAAACAGTATTTTCCCTTTTCACTGACTTTATTCTTAAATAAGCTTGAAGTTAAAGTGCTCCAAGAACTGCAATCATTGAGATACATGCAAGGCAGGATTGAACACAATGCAATTTCTCTTTGCTTCCGATGTTACTCGAGGAATTGAAAATCGGTAAAAACGTGTGGGCAGAAAACGAAACGGGTCGGTAACGAATATTTGCCCCGCATTAAGTTTCAGAGGGGTTTTAAATTTTTTTTGACGCTTATGCCAAAGGGCGTTTGTCATTTGTTTACGCAGGTCAGCAAAGTCAAGAGCTTCTTTTCTCGAGGAAAAAAATCTAAACCAGGAATTTTTCAGTTGTACGTGTTTGACTTTAGAGACCAAATTTTCATCTTGATTAACTATTTTACAAACATACAAGGAAATTCTAACATAAAGTCTGCCGCGTGCAACTTTAAAATATCCCATGATATGTGCTAATGGGGAAATTTAACTTTGATCGTTGGGTTTCTTACGTGAAATGGATATCATTCCTGACAGAATTAATATTGGTATTAGGATAATTCGGATCGTAGCGATCTTGTGTTTTTTTTCTTTATTACGATTCTTTCTCTGCGGGGTTAATTTTTTCTTTTTTTTCATTTTTGGCAACTGATCAAAGAACAAAGTATTTCCTTTAGGTTGGACCTCTCTTTTCCGGTATAAATTCGCACAAACGATCGTGTTAAAAGTTTTTTCATCACTTACTTTTCAGTTCTGTTTTGATACGGAAGCACTCTGTTTAGTGCGAAAATAAATACAATATCTCTATACGTGATTGAACTTGATTATAGAAGAGTCATTCAGTTTCCAGTGGATGATTTCAATCATCTAAGCTGTAACCACAAAATTTTAGAGATTTTAAATTCACCACACACCTTCAGTAGTGTGTCTTTAATAGAATCCTCGAGTTTTGATCCATGAAAATATTTTCGATCGAGGAGTATATCCATACCTTGACATCCGATGGCCATACGTAAGCTGACAGCTCTATTTCATCTGAGGACTGGGCTCGTCTTTAGGACGAAAGTGCTATTGAGGTCTTAAAAAATCACCTTATTTACGCGTTCGCTCAGCGGACACAGAAAAATGGGTAATACCGCAATTATTTTGTGATTTTTTTTTTTCTCAACGACTCCTGTTTTTAGTTTTTTTTCTGTCGTGGTTAATTCAGCAAGCCGCAAACTGACCACCCTACATAGGTAAGCACTCGTTCAACTCAAATGGTCTGAACGGTCACTCCTCAGTCGAAGACTATTACCGAATGCAACAGGCTTCAGTTACCAAGACAACACTGCCAATCTAACTTTATTCCTCAAGGATGCACTCATTCGGAACTGGATTTCAAACTCTATATTTCATTGAAAGCTGTACGTTATCAGTTATCATTTACATGAAACTTTTGAAGTGGAATTTTTCCCATCATGGGTGGAAAAGATTGTCTTGGAAACCAGACGGAATTTTGTGGGCCTAACTATACTACCACTGAGTGAAATTGAGCGGAAAAATCCTGAACATTTTGAAAACACGTGTGGTCGAATAAGGCGGGTTTAACCTCTATTGTTCTCGTTATTTCTCATGAATAGAGCTACCATCAAGGTTTACCTTACAACGAAAAGAAAAATTTTGTTTACATCCAAAAGTTGTTGTCTTTTATCGTAATCTTCCCAGCCAATTGAAAATGGAGGAAAATTCCACCCATCTGTTGAGCAAGGGGTAATAAACTACGCTGTCTATTTTCATATACTATCGTAGCAACACTGTTTTTGCAGCTGCCAAAATTCAGACGTTCTTCCAGCATGGCTGTTACAAATGCACCAGTTGGAAAACAAATTTTTCTTTCGTGAAAGCGCCTTTCCTCTGCGTGTTTGCCCGTTGTACAATTTCTCTGAACAGATTTTTTGTGCTCCAGATTAAGCTCATCGAGGCTCTATTTTGTTCGAAATTAAAGATAAAATCGTATGAAAAATGAATTGCAAATCGTAGCGCGAACAGAAAGCACTTAGTGAGCTTTCTTTTGTTTATCGACACAAAACAGTTCAATAGACACTATAGCACGGCTCTAGGGGGTCAAAGTAAAGAAATATTAGTGTATCTTGCCGCACGCCTTTTCAGACGTTCGTGTTAGTTTGCAGTTCATAACTTAAAATTGAATATTTCCTTAAGTTTTGCTCCTTTTAAGAGCCGCGGGATGGATTCTGTTTACGTAGTCACGAGCCTTTCATATGTTAAGCGAAGTGTTTACTCTCATACTAATTTTCCAATAAACTTTTTAATTGTGTGTCTTTGAAGAGATTTCGCGAGGTCATTGAATGTCACTGGCGACCATGGCAGGACAGGGGATGGCTAATAAAATGTGGCAGATAAAGCCACCCTTCTGGATAACAGTCTAGTTCAGTTTATTTGGAGACAAGATCCAATTTGGAGCTATTTTGTACAGTACAAATCAGTAGCGCGCTATAATTAATCAATCTTCCGGTGGGGTCGATTTTGAGCTTTCAAGACTCCACCCCAAAAATTAAGATGGATTGCAGTTAAATTGGAGTACTTTAATTTACGAACATACGTTAAAATCATTTTGCGTACGAAGTAAGTGGTTAACGACATTAAAGCATAAAAGAATTTGGATATTTGATGGTGAAAATTGTGGTCCCTTTTATTGAACGGTGGCGTTGTACTACGCGACAAGTAAGTTCAGGATACAACATGCGAAACAAAGAAATTTGACATAATTAGGCAAGACTGAGACTTCGATGAATGACAAGTGAAGTCAATGCTTCTTTAAGAACAATGTTTACGCTTTGTATGGACATAAAACACCGCCTATAGACATGATAAACCACCATAAGCGCGGGCCATCTTTTTGCCATATGTTCATTTCTAAAAGTAGAGCAAGAAAACATGAAATGTCAGAAAAATATCCTCAAAGCTTTGTCGCTTGGATCAACTCTGCGAGAAAGGTGAAGGTTATGGAAATAAAACAAGATTTCGAAAATTGTGTAAGCTTCACAAAGCTCGCTTTAATAAGCATAAGAATGGATACCGAAGAAGGCTGTAACACTCATCTAATTGCTTTTATCTCACAAAACGTAAACACCGCAATTTGTCGACCCAAGTGATCGCTGGTTTAATTTACAGCGACCTACTTCATCGATCAGGCTAATTCTCGTTTCTCGTTTATAAGTAATTTTCGGCAAAAAAGAAGTATAAAAACCATGCGATGTTAACACTTAAATTTCGTGAACAGGTTTAGTGTGACAATGACTCAACGCGAATCCTTTCTATGCGATAAAACAGGACTCGATAATTAAAACCAAGACTTCAAAATGGGGTAAATATTTGTTGCTGGATTATAACGTTCTTACAGAGGCCATTCTTTAAAAACGTTGTTAGTTCCTTTTTTTCCCTGTTAAGAAATTATCATAAGCCATGTAATTATCTTTTCTTAGCTGTCCTTTATCTAGATAATTTCCTTTTAGTAGCCTGACAAAATCACCTCTGATAATTTCTTGGGAATTTTGCAACTGCCCCCCAGCGAGTTGACGCGGCAATGACAGAAAAACAAACCCGCGGCGGAAGGCACACTCGATTGTGGCGACTGAAAAATTTGTGCTGTTATTTCTTGAAATTTGAATTTTTAGAACTGTAACGAAATACGATTCAATTAAAAACTATTCTATAGATATACATATTCTTCGATCGAGGTCTATTCATAATATTTCCATGTATTACAACCGTTATTAGATGAGGAAATTAATAACACTCGATCTTAAACATTTAGCTGTAGAAAACATCGGCAAGCCGCGTTTTCCGTTTTGAGTCATCGGGTAAGATTTCGCCATGATAAGGTCACTTTTTTGTGGAAAAACCGTCAATGGGCGAAAAAACGCGATAATTCTGAAGAATATGGCGCAGTAAACAAGGAGGGGCTTGGTGAAAGACCAAACATGAACAAATATATTGAGGGGAAATAGAATACGAGAACGATATAGGTTAGTCGCGGAAAATGCAAAACATCACACAGGAACTCTTTGCAACACAACTACACGGATCTCATTTGATGATCAGATTTATTCGAACATTTCGGCGTGTGTGTGTGTCTTATGTGCATTGTCAAAATGCTTGTACTGTGGATTTCATAAATTAATTGAGAATGTATAAAACAAATAAATTTCTATGTACTTGCCCTCTGATCCGGTGCTCGACGAAAAATATTGGCATAAAGATATAAAAATGTATGTCTCTAATACTCGAGTGACGAATTTTTTCCCTACAAACGGTATGTACATATCTGATAATTTCATAAACAATCTTTCGTTTTCGCGAGATATCTACCACCGATCCATTTACGGTCCGCACGTCTCAAAAAATGCGTCGCGCTCTTCAAAACTACAAGGAGATTTTGAAAGATTGAAAATAATCTCACTTCAACTGGAATTTCTTGACAGGCCACAGATAAAAATCGAAGATAGAGATCATAAATTACTGTACTTTGAAACTGAAATTACGCGCATTTCGGCTTTCTGTCATCTCGCCAAAATGAACAAGGAGATCACTAGAACCGTGAGAAGAGAGAATGAATGAGACTGTGTTTCTGTACTTGAAACTGGTATTCTAGTTGGCTGTGTTGGCTTGTCTGTCCGTGGTTCCGTCGTATTATACGACTGTAGGTCCCTCAATGTTCCAATTTCATCCAACAAGAATGAATCGTCTAAAGCGTGCCACGCAGCGGCTGTAAAATTCACGTTTCCCGTTGTTAAAAGATCAAATAAACATGAATCTAGATAGAAGCCAGTGATTTTCGTTTCAGTGCACTTAGCATGGGCCTTTGCGCGCGACATTTTGCTTCTCCGCGGACGCATCTTTGCGAGTTGATCGTCCGTATATGATAATAGCTCTCGGTAGTCAATTCTTTGGCGATCAGGGCATCCCATTACACAGAGTCCCGTAGACGGAGTCTTCGTAGACAGAAGCTGCTCGGGGATTTTAACGTGAAATGTCAGAAAATCTCCGACCTGTCGGATAATGATGGTGGTGCTGATGTAACAGATTTTAATCTCGATGTGAACTCGACGTCCCTTTTTCCTCGGATAGATTACAGCGGGGCAATCCGCAGGTCCAGTCTGTTGTGTTCCATCGTGGAACTCAGCGGGAAGCGAACCCGCTTCGGCCCGATATATTTTCTGATCTACGCAGCCCTTTCCACTCGCTTTTATCAGCACCGTGATCTAAAGGAGAAAGTACGAGTATAGCGATCAAAATACACAGTGACCAAATCGCGATCCATCAATTTTGGCAGCCTCTTGTGCGAGCTGTGATGATGGATTGCTTTATTTCAGGAACAAATTGCATGATGATATGTGATTAGTTTCATCACAAAAGCGAACGAGATCGGTCAGTGCTACATATGATTAGAAAAGTAAACGGTTAATGAATGAAATGGCTGTGCACTAAACTGACACCGCAGCCGTTTGGCAAACCCATCTGGAAACACACACCTTGTGAAATTGACAAGCCGCACAGCGCTGAAGACATGCCGTGTTTCTGTCAAGCAGTTGGAGTCCATATTTGAATTGTAAGGAAGCCGTAAGCTGTTGGACGTGTATGCATAATTCAAAAGCCTGTGTTGTTTGGACACGTTCCGTGTAAAGAAGTGCACAAATTCAAAATAATTTATCAGTACTTACGGTGTTCGTGGCTGTAGCGCTGGAACCCGCCACCAGAGGTACGTTGGTAACTTGCACAGAGAAATACTTGTTGTCAATAAGCGGCCATGCTCCCTGAACGACGCAAGTTTGACGTTTCTCCGTAAATGTTTTTAAATGTGGGTCCCCAAATAACGCACACAGTCGAAAATGGTGTGGGTTTTGCTTAATTTGTTCTTTAGAAGGTTTGAAGTCCTCAGATGTAAAGTTCAAACAACCAGGTCGTTTCGTCGCTAGCGTAGCTGGAGACTTTGTACTGCGCAGAGCTGTTTCATTTGTAGCTACAGAAATATTTCCACAATTTCGGGCTTTCATCTTCATTGGTATCAAAGTCGATATTGTAAGAAAATGAAGGTCTGATCTGCAACTTTTCACTATCTTTTTAACATCCTCTACGCAGCGTAAATAAACAGCCAAAGCGGTGCAGATTTCTTGGTTGTTTTCAGAATCGACCGCATCTACAGTCCTTATGTATGGCAGTGTGCAGAGATCGTTGATTACTTGCGTACACTTTTGTGTCTCTGCTGTGACAACCAGCACTACGAGCACAAATGAGAGAACGAGTAATGTGAGTATATTTACATTTAAAGCCATCATAACATAAGGATTACTCGGTGAATCGTATCGAATAGTAACGAACGCGCGATCGAGCGTTCGATTGAAGAGTCTACTCACGTAGAAGCGGAAATAAACAAGTCTTGAGCAACACGCGGCACAAGTCAGTTTTTCGTCCTTTAAATCGAAAACTCATGTCCCTTTTAGGCCGCCGTCTGAACTGTCGCACATAACTGCATGTAGACCATGTAACACTGTCACAATTTTGTCCTTTCCTCGGGAGTCGATCGCCCCGATCCGGTCCAGGCCAATTTGCTTGATGGGAATGAAAACCAAATGACTCAATTCACTTATCAATCAGAGAGTTGACAGCTCCAATACAAAGATACTGATTAACAAGGCCGTCGCCGCCCCAAGTGACCCTTAACAGGCGATTGAAAACTTTTCACGAGTTACGAACGCGATATCGCCGCGAATATCTTACAGCAAACACTTACTTTAGCCAAGCCACGTTCAAATAAAGGGCTTGGGAAAAAAAGCCGAGTTCTTATAGGGGGCTGTCATTTTCTGAGTAGCCCCCTAGTGTGGTTTCCCGTCACAGTAGAACCACCGAAGCAGCTGTCATTGTAATTAACTATGGGTTCTTTTCTTTGTTGTCATTGGTCGGCGCTGGGTAGAATTATCGCCCGCGGCTATTCAAAGTACCCTTGCATAACAAACCAATCGGCAGCCAGTATCCAGCGCGGAACTCGTACATAATTGAGCGGGTTGTCATTCATCATTTCTCCTTTTGTTCCCTCGCTCGCTTACTGGCGGAGACGTCTTAAAAATTACAAAAGGGGATGGAGTGTTGACACTACCACTGGGGGATTCCGAGTCATGCTTCTAACCTCAAACAACAAAAGTTTGTTAGGGCTTACTGCCACATACGGCTGCATATAAAATCTTCGCGGCGAAACCAAGCAGAAGTCCTTTTCCAAGTGACAGCATGTGACAGCTTTTAAGCTTCCCAAATCCTTCCATAGATAGGCCAAACCACGCAAGCTATTAATTACACACTTTTGTTGATTTAGCTTAATTATACTTTTGTAGTTCGACACTTCGAAAAATTACAAATGTCATATTTGGGAGGACTTAAGACAAAGATAACATAAAAGCTTATCAAAAACCAAAATAACAGAATTATAATGCTACAATAAGGGCGTAAAATGTTCTTTTCTTCGTTTTCGGACGTCTTTAACACGCACTGCAAACGCGTTTTTTTTTTCGTCATGAGAGCATGACATAAATTAGTTATTCGAGGAGTGAAGAAGCGGTCTTGAAATGCGAACAACGTGCTGCGAACCTGCCAAATCCTTATCCATTGATATGCTGTGACGCCCACATCTAATGAATATTGGTGTTCTTTCACGTCGCGAAGACACAAAAATCTTTTTCCGGTGGTATCATTTGAGCTCTTAAGAACGCTTCAAGAACGCATATTTCACTAGCAAGCGCGCAGCGTGTGAAATTGAATCACAATGGTTAAGAATCTCTAGGGACGCAGCAAGAGCCTTCTTGGAAAAGAGAAATAATTTTCAGTCTTTCCATAATCAACAGTATAGTCATGTGAAATTCTCACTGTGCCTTTCTTTGAGTCAATTTCCTGTTGTTTTACCAGTGTTAATAAAGAAGTTTGCAACGAGTTCCAACTGCTCAACAAATTGCCTATTAAATTTGAACTACTCCGACTGAACTTCAACTAACTGTGGCTAAAAAATTCTTGCATCACTTTTTAACTCAAAAAAGGCTGTTCGGTGAAATTGTAAGACGTCCCCTGACGTTTGAGCTATTTAAATTAAAATTAACCAGTTTATCAAAAAGTGAATCTGCAAATGTATACTATATAATTTCTTGTGATGCTTTAAAGTAAATTTCGTCTGTGAGCTCGAAGTTAAACAGCATTCAACTATTGTTCAAAGGAGTTCAGTTTCAATCCTTCAATTGAAGGTCGTGCCCCGCTGTTGTCACAGAATGGAATTATCCGGCGCAATTTAAGCCCTGGCATGGAAGAAAGTTTGTAATAACATACGACAAGCAGCGATGTTTGTTTGGAATCCAGAAAAGAAAATTAAAATCTGTGGGAGACTGAGGTTATGTAGATAAGGTGGCTAGGACGCAGTGGGTCATTTTTGTCCAAAAAATGAACACATTTCAATTTCCAACTGGGTCTTAGCTGATTACGGACAAATTAGTTTTCTTGACCAACTCAGAATTCACGGCACGATGTACACTTGTTTACAAGCTGTTGAGAAACCGACAGTTTCTTTTTGAATCGTCGGATTAAGACAAGTCATCGCGGCCTAAGAAACAAGGACTATTTGTGGAACCCATGAAGTGCTGCTGTGAAGCTACGTGAACTGAATTCCAATGAAGTTCTTTCTGTGCCAAGTGCACAAAGATAATTTGAAAATATCGTTTGGATTTGATCAAGATTTTCATTCGTTGACCCTGTCGTTGGAATCTCAAGAAGCTGTCGACGAAGACCTATCAAGTTTTCAAGGAGACAAAAAGTGTTCGCGCTAGGCAAGATTTGTTCGACGAAAAGATGTCTCCGACGTAAAAGAAGAAATCTTTCATTTCAATCAGTTGAGATCAAGTTCTTCTCGCTCTAACCACCGGTAAAAGACCTTTTGCTATCTTACTCTTCAACGAGGTTTCAACTGTTCTAATTGATAGCGTTTATCGTCTGGAAAAATCGAACTAATATTGATAGTTCTCGCCACATTTACAATCAGTTAAATTAGCCCCGCGAGGTCAGCAGGGGTCCTTGTATAACCATTAATTAGTTCTTCATTACAACTAATCTGGCGCCCTCAACTTTAAAAAGCAGCGAGGCTTGAGTTAAAAAAAAAATTATTCAACCGAAAATTGGTTGCTTTGAGAACCCTTTAAGTGTGCGACACATCAAATTCAAGAGGGTTTACCAAGATTGTCGCAAAGCAGAATTGTTGTGGTCACTTTTTTCAAGCAAAACAATCGAAACTTTATTAAATAATGAATAGGGCGGTCCGAAATTTATTCAGGACACGGTAGATTTAGTGTCGTAGTCCATTTGCATTCTGTTAGATTGATTTTACGAGCAATTAGTTTTGAATTAGTGGTTTGTATATAGACACACTTTGAAATATTTCAAGGTTTTTACACCAAACCTAGCCACCTCGTTTCGCTTTTACACCGATTCTTTTAACACAAACATTATTTTTAATGTCACAAAGTGGAGTTTGATGTAAACTGGTTCCTTTTATTTATATGAACTAAAGATAACTTGAAATGATGAATTTGGCCAGCTACTAATTGTGACTAAAAAATCCAAAATAAAGGAAATAATTATTTTGAATATAAAATAAGGTTGTTAAAGCATACTTCAACGGAAGGTGGCTGTTTAAGAATTAATGTAAACACATGCCACTAGAATACATCACTACAGAAAGACTTCTGCTCTCAAAGAACAAATGTTCGCTATTATAACGGGTTTGTTTTTCTCAGCCACGTGTGGCAAGTCTTCTGTTGAGGCCTGCACCACAAAAGAGATAATTTCAGATTGTGTGGATTGCCACTTTAAGCTCTCTCTCATGAATAAACGCCTCCAGTGACCTGAAATATTGACTGAAAAGGTATAAGTTTCGTTAAGAGTCATCTTAAAACGCAAGATTGGACCAAAAGTTCGGTCACACAAATGTGGACCACGACTTTGGGCTCAAAACCGAATTCAATATCAATAACAACAGAAAACCGAACTTTGTCGGAAGTTTTATCATTAAATTCGCTTTACCCTTAATTATAAAAATTTTAAGGTCAATTTGACTCAAATGTTCATTTTCGTGTGAATCTGAATAACCTTTATATTGTTTTGAGTACGATAGGAAATTCAGGAACTTAATTTCCAAGGACTTGAGATAAATAAGACTCAGACATCAAGCACGATGAGCATTCTCTCGCACAAAAAAAATATCACAGAGGCGTAACCAAAACTAAACAGAAAAATATTTTGGGAGTGATTGACGAGGGTCCTTGTTCGTTGGAAGAGAGCATATGATAAAGTCACAGGACTGGCATCTCAGTGAAAGCTGTTCTGCAATACAAATCGTGTCTGGTTCAAATATTAAAACTGGCATTTATTCGGCATAAATATCGATGAATAACTTGCATGAATATCGGCCTAAATATCGATGACTAAAGCACTTTTGTAGCTGTTATTGAGCTCTTTTAGAAAAGAAAAGGGGAAAAGAACAATTCGTTGGTAACTCGGCGTTAGCTTTGTAAATGTAGATGCTTGCGTTGTAAAGTCAACATGGTTTAGCAATGAACCTGCTCAACAGGTTTTCATCTACCCACTAAGAGAAAAGCTATTTTTTATCATGTTTTAAAATTATGATAAAGGTTCCCACGATTTAAGGCACTAACTTTTTAACGACTTGTTCACAACAGCCTTGACATCTAACGAGTTACCCAGTCTTTTTCTTTATAATAATCGCCTCGGTTGTTAGTTGGCTGAAACCTTTTTGGACTATCCATTCCTGTTTACCTAGAATCATCTCTTTCGCCATTTTTCTTTTGCTTCACTGTTATGTCTCATCCAAATCTTTTCTCCAAATTACAACCATTCTCTCTCACCTGTCTAGTCTAAAGAAGGTTTTTATATTTTAATAACGTTTCTTGTCTCGAAAAAACAACTTAGCGAAGAACTCATTTAGAGAATCAATTACAACAGTGACTAATTGCTCTGGGAAATTAATATTCCAAAGTCTTTAATTATAAACGTGACTTTCTTTCGATTGAATAACGAACTTCTCTCTTAATAATGCAAACGAAACAAACGGACACAAAACAGTACAAAACAAACCTTAGTCCTTCCGTGAAGTTTTCCAAAGAACTTAATTTAAACCTATTTGCCTTTTGCTTTTCAAACAGGACAAGGGTGTTTTTAGGCGGATGATCATATGCAATATCCAGTCCAAGTCAAATTATTACACCGACGTATATAATTCAGAACTTCTTGATTATAATAGTTTCCTTCTAGATAAGGTTTCCGGTGCAGCGACCAACGAGACCCACAGAACAATTTTAAAGTTCCTTGAACTTTTGTGTAATGGCAGTGAATGAACTCAGTCAGTGAAATTATTTGAAAAGATTGCTATTCTTCTGAGGCAACCGGCTAAAGATAATGAGCACGCATGGAGAATACTTTCAATCCAGGCAAGTGAAATTCAGAAGCTCAAACATCAAACTGGTCATATTACTCGTAGTTTTAGTTTCATCTGTAAATAGATTGCATTTTTTTTAATTTTCCGAAATTGCTCATATCATATTTCTACGATGGATGAAAAGACGTTATAGCCAAACAGGTGAAATGTCGGTGAATTTCTTCAGCTTTTAAGATCTAAAATGACTCATTTATCTTAATAGCACATCTCGCTTATCACACAAATTGATGCAGTTCACGTTTCTCCATTTTAATGTTTTAACAGGTCTGACAGCTGAGCGGACGTCCTACGGATATCACGCGATATCACACGATATCACAAACGCATTTTTGAATTTTAATGAATCAGCAGTCGGGTAGAAAACTGCGAAGTCAGATGTGCATGAGCTCAAAGTAGAAATCGGAAAAAAAAAAGAAAAAGAATACATTTTCTTATATAATTTACCTCAGAGAATTTCGAGGAAGTTAGCCCATGCTAATTTTTTCCAACAGCCTTGCCTCCCATGGCGACCACCTTTATGAAGAGACCACCTCGCAAAAAAAAACATCGCGTGCCAAAATCCAAAAGCTGTTATCACGCTGGGGTAAGATGGCATGAAAAAGATAAAATTCTTTGTTTTTACTGCGTTTTTGGAACATTTTTCCAGAAAAAAAGTAATAGGTGTTCTCAACAAAATACCTCTATCATTTTTTTCTTGAACGAAAACACCCACACTGCATACACTGAGGTCAAGAAAGCCGGCAGTCACCGACTGAACGATTACGAAAAAGGAAATGAAACTATAAACGAAAAAAAAAAGCCCTTTAGTTTCTGTCTTTCATCTGACTGGAAAATGTTCATATAAAAGAACTGAAATACCTTTTCCTTTTTCTCCCCTTTTTAAGGAGAATTTCGAACCCAAAGAACAAAATTATCAGCATAAAGAATCACTAAGTTTGTGAAGGAGCGTTGTTGTTATTTTGTACCTGGGAGCCATCTAACTTTTGTTTGAGTAACTTAAAAACAAAGAAAAGGTCTTTCTGTGAGGGACCCCAGCGATTTACTAAAAACATATAGCTGCTCAGAGAACCACTATTTCCCATTGTTTTCTGGCGTAAAATGACAGTTGTCAGTTAATTCAGAATTCATGGCCCTCACAACGTTCCCGAACAATTGACGAACAACTACCAACAGCTCGTACTTAACAAACCTTGTTTACAGTTTAGAACATTAAAATTCAGTTTAACATTTCGTTTATTGGATGGGCTAAAACAAAACACCCGTTCTTTTACTAGTCCCAGGGAGGTCCGATGTTGTTCACCGTCAATTGAAGATGACGGATATTTTCCGGAAAATTTCTGAGGAATAAAAGCTGCATGTTTGAGTTTGCTGAATACCTCCCAGATCGAGTGTAATATTAAGACATTTTCTCTACTCAACTCTTCTTTGTGAGTTATGATCAAACCTTCGATTTTTTTTTTAATTTCTAGATTCTCTCAGAGAAACTACGCTGTCAAGAAAGCAATAAAAAATTGGAATCGACAGAGCGGCACTCGGAACGCCATAAGATTTCATTGCGTGTCAGTCACGCGCGAGCATCGCGTTGTAACGCGAAATTTTATTGCAATAACATCAATCCTTGTAATGAACTAGATATCGATGTGCCGGTACGTAGAATTCAAACTTTTGATATAACAATCGGTGCACATTAAAACCGTTTCTGATATTAGTTGGCATAAAATGCAAAGTTGAATAAATTGATGAGTTTCTCCAGGAGGTCGACGAAAATTACCCCTTACCGGATACTTCTCGCAATCAGCCGGAGGCAAATCGCATTTTTAAAACCGATCACATAAAAATGCTAAAAAAAAGGAAAAATGGATTCTACCCTGATACGGACTGGATCTTTCGGACAGTTTTTGTCTTACCGTCACGAGACCTTGTCCTCGAGGAACCTCAGATGCAAATTTCAATTCCACAACTTGTGAAAAGAAGTCGCTTGTTTCAGAACTTTGTTTACTGTCTGACAAACGCTTTTCGGAAGAGGGCGGGTTTCAAAATATTGTCACTTAATAAGAGGCTTTAATTCGACGCGCATTGCTCAAAAGCTGATACGAGATGGTTTTAATTTCGCCTCCTCTTAATGGAAAACTAGAAGGCGAAATAGGAAACTTTCACAGAGGGACGAATTAATTTCTTCAACCTGTCTGCTGGTTCTTTTGTTACTGCGGTTATTTTGTCTAGAAGCGAGGGGGAGAAGGGTAAACAGGTAAGGTGCTGTGGGGAACAGCAAGGAAGTTGGAGTTTGTTATTTTTTTTTATAATTAAAAGGGTAAAGAGACATTAAATATATTGCACCTGACTCACTTCACATCATTATGACACGCGGGTTTACTTTTCATGCAAATTTAACATCTTACAAAAATATTGAATATCAAAAACATGCAATGGAAGGAAAATAAACAAACAAGCACAGCTGAAAAAGGGGTCTCTTGATAAATGTACCATCACAAGAGCTACACGTAATTTCAGAGTTCAGTGGTGAATGGTATTGCACAAACTTTCTCAAATCAAGGGGAGAGGACTGGGTGAAGAAGGCGCGTAAACACATGCTAATATACGCCACTAAGTTACTTCTTATATTCCCTGAGAAAAAAAGAAAAACATATCAATATTGACACATGATCCGGCCTCTTACGATCTATGTCAAAGATGTTGCTGCATATACAGTTTAAAACAAACAATCATCCTCCAAAAAAGGTTTTTTTTTTTCCAACGCAAACATTTGTAAATTGAAATGGATCTAAGCAGTCACCTTGAGTTCCGCAGTTTGGAATACTCTTCAGTTCTCGCCTTCTCGTGTGACCGTCTGTGAGTTCTTTGCAGGTTTTGTGGTTGAAACATCGCGACAATATAGCTGCGGTTAAAAGTATTTAGCAAACTACGCAGATCAATCATATTTGCAGTTGTTTTTTTTAACTTCAGTTAACGATGGAAAATAAGTTATTGTCACGAAAGATCGAACCCTTTTTTGACCGCGGTAATATATAACCTTGGAAGTTGTGTCTAGCCCAAACTCCATTTCAAGGGCGTGTTCAGTGGGGCATTTCAAAATGGGAACGTAAATTATTTTGTAACCGATCGTCGAAAACAAAACGTCGGCTCAGTTCATGCTATTTTTAGCGTTTCCTGTTTTTATATCCTTTTTGGAGAGCTACGACGTAAACAAAAAGACCTTAAAGTGTTCCACTAAGAGCATAACTCCAAACCGTATTATAATCATATATTGGTGAAATTTTGGACAACTATCAGCTTTGTTCTCTGCTCATTCTTTAAAAAAAAAAAAAAATCTAGGAGCTCGATCCAGGTCTTTTTACAGAAAGAATCCAGGAAAAGTCGAGCCCGCTAGGAATGACTTCAGGTGGATTTCTTGAGCTTTGGAGCAATGAAACTTCTCATGAAGGCTGACAAGGAAGGCGGAATACCAGCATTGGCACGGCTTCTCGATAGAGTCTTATTCACAAACGATATCTGTTTGAAGAAAGAAATTATGTAAATACTAAAATGAATCAGGATAAAAAAAACATGATCATCACATAATTCTATTTTTCTTCTCTCCTTTCATTTGCTTACCTGTACATCTGGCCTCTGAACCAGTAGCGAATTTTCTCGCGAGTTGAACAAAGTCTTGCGTTTTTTGGTGCAGTCTAATATGGATGGGTTTTCAGTACTTGAGGTGCAGGTCGAGCCAAACTGCTTTTCGGGCGGAGCTAACACCTCACGAGCACTCGAAATAGGTTTCCTAAGACCAGACAAAAACAGAGGTTTTAATCACGTTATTTTACGTGTCTACAAACGAGCTCAACTCCCTATTGACAGAGCGTTTGACTTTAAATCAAGTAACCCTAGTTTCAACAAGCCCTGAGTGATGTCGTTACATGATGGGCAACCTAGTGTGTCTCTTTCTGATGGTTATCAAAATACCCCGAGGGTCATGGAATCTTTCAAGTTCAACTTAGCCACATTTTTTTGTTTTTGTTTGAGGTTTTGCACAGTTTGAACAATCTAAGAGATTTCTACGACCCAAGTGTCCCTCGTGAGAAGGCCGCACAAAGAAATACATTTCAAATGGAGTCCTTGGAAAGATATTTCGTTTTAAAAATAAGTAAAGAGAAGAAACTGGAAATATAAACATTTTGCCTCTAGAAAGATTTTTCTCGTCTGGTATTTTTAAATGAAGTATCTAAACTTGAAGACAGTATTGTTATTGAGCTTGTCATAGTTGAAATTCCCGACGAAAGTGATCCATTGAGGAATATTTTGCAAGGTCATAGTCTCGACACTGTTTTTCACAGCAGTATTTGTATCAAAATACCCTTCAACGCCGAAAACTTACTGTTTCTTTCTAACACTCGGATGTTGTTTCGTCTTATTGGCGTCATCTCTGCGTGCCGTTGTTGGAAAAGGGAAGAAGGAATTTCAATGATATTGGACCCCCCCCCAAGCTATTTGATTAAACGCTACGGCGTTGATAATTTTTATTTGCGTTTTCGAGGTGGCGTTCATTGGCGGCGGTCAGTCGAGGGCGCTTTTGAATTCTGAGTACTTACTAATTAAGACGATTTATTGTAAGTGAAACCGCCAATGGAGATGGAGTAGCGACTAGGAAAAAAAAAGTGATTTCTCTTAATAAGCTTGAAATGCCTCAAAATGATCTGTACATCTCTGATCCTGGAAAGGTCCGGTTCATTTCCGAGTGTTCTGTAGCTCAGCTGGTCAAGCATCAGACTGAAAAATCGTAAGGTCTGAGGTTCGAATCGTCACGCTTTTGAAAAATTTCAATCATCTTTCCGCAAAAAAAATCTCCACTTCCTAAACAAAACCTCATCAACTTCAGGAAAATAAGGAAAGATCTCTTACCTTTTCTTTTGTCCCGTCTGTTTGCCACGCAGGGTGTTTTCTTTTGAGCCCTTTGTTATTTTTTCTTCGCCTCTTGCCTCTGGGGGACCTTGCTTGTTTCTTCTCGATCGACCTTTGTCCTGCGACTTCTGTTCATGAGTCTGACTCGTTAGTTGCGTGTTGGAATCCACGTCAGTTGTGTGTACGTCTCGTTTTCTCTTTGATTCAGTGACATCATCAACTGCTTGTAACTGCTCCTCTTTTTGTTTCCAGTTTCTGTTCTTCGAGGAAAGGCCATTTTTCTCCTTTTCATTGTTAACTTCAAGCCCTCGTTGGAATTTCTCGCTATGCGAGGGTTTTTCATGGACAGAGAATGTTTCTTCGACCGTTTTGATTGGATTGTCGTTTAATACTAACTTCCCTTCATCCGATTCAAGATCTTTGAAAAGTTGGCCATGAGCGGATGCCCTTTTACTCAACCCTCCCAGCACTTCTGTTTCCGGTAGTTGAGATGTCCCGTCAAGAGGTTTGTGAGCTGTCGTTCCTCGTGAGGGGCGTAACTTGTCAACACGCGGGCGATCAATTTCGCTTGATGGCATCTCAATGTCACGGGAAAATGGCTCAACTTCTGGTGATGATTTCTTCAAAATGGCGGGTTCGCGACCTTTCAGACATTCGACGCTGGTTTTGGCTTTCTTTGTCACGGTCTCGCCTTCAATAATATTTGTTTTTTGTTTAATTTCCTTAGCTCTCCTTCTCAAGACTTTTCTTGACCCATGATCTCTATTGCCATGTGCACTTCTCAGCTCAATCCCTTTTTCTTCCGCAGGTGAAGGCTTTTCCTCTGCCGATGTTGCTTGTCTTTGGCTTCCCTTTTCCTTTATGCTCTTACGTTTTTTCTTATCCTGTTCTCGGACGCCTGAGAACTCTTCATTCCGCTCATCTTTGGAAGACTCCTCTGCTTTTTCATTTTCCCCGGTCCATTGTTTATGTTCTTCACTTAAATCAAGAAAGAAATCGTTGTCTTCGTCAGTGGATAAGCTCTTCTCTTCCCCAGTCCCTGGATTCGTACTTTTTGGAATCTGCTTCTGTGAAGCTGTTTTCTCAAATTTCTTTTCGTGATCTTGTAATTCGTGGTTATTTAAGTTCCCTTTTGCTTCGTCGCCACTTTCCAATTCTCCCCTGTTTGCAGTATCCTCAACAACTACATGTTTTAACATCTCTCGTACAATTTCACAACGTCTCTCTTTTATTGATTTTATTTCTTCAGCTTGAACCTCTTTACCAGGTTTATCTTCACCTTTCTCCAGATTTTTATCAATCTCTGGTGATTTCTGTAACCTTCTCGGGGTTTTGCAATACTGAAAAGGGACGTCATCCTCTACAGAAGCACTGGCTGCTATGGAGAAACGTCTGACGTTGCTGGGTTGAAGGAATTCTCTCGGCGCCTCTCTCAGTGTACTTGAATCTCTCTGAGGTTTCGCCGCTTGTTTTCCTGTAAGAGTTGAAGTATTCCCCTCACATGTAACCTTATGATCACAAAGAACTTTCTTCTTTCGAAGACTCTTTTGTTTTTCTTCGATTATTTTCTTACCAAATTTGTCATCTTCTTTTTCTTTCTTATTGTCTTGGACAGTTTTATCTTTCGCTTTTCTCCCCTTTTCATTTTTGCGTTGATCTTTCTTCGGTTCCGCTTTTTTTCTTCCACCCTTGCTATTCACTTTCCCATCTTCTTTCACAACATCCTTCTTTCCATTGTCGCTTCCATTCCCATTTTTTAGATCTCTTCCAATCTCTTGGCCATCATAATTAGACCCCTGGGAAAGTTCGCTCATCGAAGTTGAAGACTGCACTTGCGTCGAGGCGTTACTCTTTTGAGAATCAACTTGAGTCATTGTCGAAGCGTTGTTCACATCAGTCCTTGCTTGAATACCCTTAGTCTTGATCCAAAGAGAAAATACCGGATCCTTGATTAGATTCATTCGTGTTTGCGTCAAATAATCAGAAGCTAGTTGAGTTGCAGAAAGCGTTTCCTTCGCATTCGTTCGTTTTTCTGGATTACGTTTGGGTGCACTGAAAGGCTGGGCCAACTAGACGGCATCGCGCAGCGGCAAGTCTGAACAACAAGCCCGGCTCTGTATGAACTGCTTCCACGACAAATCGCCGCGACAATTTGTCTCGCGTGCTATGACTTTGTGTGTGAAAAGCTGTCATACTGACTGAATTTTGCAATCAGTTACACGAATTGAAGCCAGTCTGAATTCGTGCAGCTGACCATAAAGAGAAAAATCAGTTCATGTAGCGCGTATGGGCCTGACTGGAAACGCTCAAAAAATGGAAAACAGCACCAAAAACGCCTTAATCTTCAAGAATAAGATGGCGAAAGGAAAAAGAAAATATTTACCCTCATTGAAACTTTTTTCTTTTTCAACTCCCTTCTAAGGTCTTCAGCGTCCTTAGATGCTTGAACCTGCTTGTCCTTTGCGGAAATAAATAGAAAAATATGACAAAAAAACTAAGGCATGGCTTAAGCAATGGAGGAGTTTTCATAAGAGAGGGGTTCAAGAACTATTCTCTAAGACGTGTATAAATTCCGGAACTTGGACCATCGTAATGAATACATCTTTTAAGGCTGGCAAGCAGTTTTTACTTTCTTGTTTGTTAGAAAACGCTTCATGAAAATTACCTTCCATGTCATAATCTCCCTTTTCAATAGATTTTCCTTGTTACTCGAAGTGGCTCTGTATTTTTCAATTTTCCTATCCATCTCCGATTTCATTCTGTCTTCCAGTTCTTTCTTCTCTTGAAGATGCTGAATTTTTTCATCCTATGGGTTAAAGTTAGAATGATGGTGATAATAGCTATAACAAGCATGAATAAAATGACAATGATAATGATTTTTACAATAATGATACAGATGTAATAGTAACAATAATAACACCTTTATTTAGACACGATAATGTTTAAAGCTGAACAGTTTGTGGGGTCGTGTGTAAATCCAAATAAAATCTAAATTAAATAAACTCATATGATGATGGTTTTTGAGGAGAGGGGAAAACCGGAGTACCCGGAGAAAAACCTCTCGGAGCAGAGTAGAGAACCAACAAACTCAATCCACATATGACGCCGGGTCCGGGAATCGAACCCGGGACACATTGGTGGAAGGCGAGCACTCTCACCACTACACCAACCCTGCCCCCCTTCCATGTCATCAGGAGAGGATTGAGAACAAATTAATGAAAAGAAGATGGAGATGGATTGGCCACGTACTGAGGAAAGAACCTGATGACATTACCAAAACAGCTCTTGCTGAAGAGCCTCAACCTTACCTGGCACCCAGTCCAGAGACTGGCCAAAGACAGACGGGAGTGGAGAGCTTTTGTTGCTGCCCTACATGCTAGGAGGCACAATGGGCAAGATAGATAGATAAAAAATCTAGACACTCTAAAATTAAATTTTAAATATCTTTTTTGAGACCTATATATGATGTATAAACCTTGGTCCTAGGGTTGGCTCGTTTGCGTCAAGATTTCCGAGGAGGAGAGTTTCCACAGGTTACCCGAAATGGACCCTACATTACAGTATCTCGATCTATTTCGCCGATCCCGAGAAGGCTCGAGAAAACAGGACTTAGCAATCGGCATTTACCTGCAGTGTCTTTTGAGCAGTTTCTTGCTGGCTTGTCGCGTTCTTGAGTTCTGTTGACAGGGATTCAAGTTGCTCCTAAAAGTAAAAACACGGGAGAAGATTGACGCCCGAATTCATCAAGACTACCATAAGTGCGAAATTGAATGAGGTAAGAACTACAAATGACTTTATGTGGGTAAATAACTAGATCTTCCACCATTGTCTTTCACTTTTACCTTCAGTCTGCAGTCGTGTTCTCGGAGTTTGTTATTGACACGAACACTCTTTGTAAGCTGCTCATTTTTGTACAAGAGCTCTAATTCTACCATAGAACGTTTGCAGAAAAGCGTATCCTGGTACACCTGCAGCTTAGATCTTTCGTATTCAGCTTCTAAAAATTTGAGTTCAGCGGAAAACCAGGTTTCTTCCTTCTCTTTGGCGTCTTCCGCCATCTTTGTCAGTTTGAAAATTATCGCTAGCGCTTTGTTTTCAAACTTGTCAACTGTGATCGCTGATTGGTAAAAATTTAGAAAATATTTTGTGCTGATTGGCTCTTTAAAATTACCTCAAAAGTCACCGCTGACTGCAGAAATAGATGTCGCTGGCGCTTTAGATAAAGGAGAGGAAGATCATGTCGGCGCTGTTTGGAAATTTGATTATTTTCTTAAAATTTCTGGTCATATTTCCAGCACATGCCCTTGACAATGGCTTAGCCATCACTCCACCAAGTACGCCTTTAATAGTTAGTTGCAGATAAGTGAGAAATAAGAGACCGTATTTTTTTTTAGATATTGATACAAGAATGTTTTTTTTTCCTCTATCAGCTGTTTTGACTGGATGCACAACTTTTGTGCTACGCGTTTTCATATTTCATTAAACTAAGTCTCTATTTGAACAAACAACCCTATAAATGATTTCCCAATGACATTATTTTCAGTGGGATGGATGGCATGGGAGAGATTTCGATGTAACATAGACTGTGACGATGATCCACAAAATTGTGTCAGGTAAAAGTTAAAAAGCCTTTAGTTTAAATACCGGGTACTATGAAGGCGCTAAAACGTTAAAGCGCAAGCTCAAACTTGTTTGCAATCTCATTATTTGAATATACCTCTTAAAATACCGTGAAATTTTTAAGAACTTTATTTTTATCGATGAAGTGAAATGTGCACAATATGCACTCTGAGATTCCTAGTGAATGAGGGGTAAAGCTGGGAAAAACATTTTTTTGAGGTTAGATATGTAAACAGTATAATGTTTACTAGATTTTAAGATTTCACCTTCCTTCTTTGGTATTTTATAAATCGTTATTTTTTTTTCTTCTGAAGTGAAAAATTGTTCATGCAAATGGCTGATCGCATTGCTGAAGATGGCTTTCAAAAAGCTGGATACAAATACGTCTGTATAGACGTGAGTGCCATGCAAAACTTTTTAGCTACTTATGATTTGATGCGTGTAGAACATGGTATTATGTAAGTTATTATGTAGTAGTGCGAGGGGTGATGGCCTCATGGTTAGTGCCCTGACAACTCTGGATCAAGTGGTCTTGGGTTCAAACCCTGGCTCACTGGGGACATTGTGTTGTGTTCTTAGGCATCTATGGAAGAGTAGAATACTCCAAGTTGCTTCATGCAACAGAAACCAGAGTTAAGCACAGGCCTGATGGGCTACTTGGCTTGTAAACAGACTTTACTTTATCATGTAGTAAGGTTGACAGTTACTAGTATATATATAATTACCACCTCACCTGTGTAGTAGGTTGTAGTTCAGAATTTAAACTGGCCAATTGAATAATAAATCATAAAAAATAATGAAACTGGATTTTAGCCATGGTGTATACATCTACACATAGTATACTTTGTTGTCCACTGTTTTCTGGTAAAACTGAATTTTTGGCTTTTGGCTTTTGGTGTTTTTTCCCAAAGAGGGGAAGTTCAGGTATCTTAGCGAAATCCTGACAGTATAGATGAGAAGCAATGAAAGCCACAGCAGTGAGAATTCTTTGTTCGTACCATCTTTATTTTTAACCCCCAAACTATCAAGATCTGTATAGCACCCCCCTTCTCTATCTTTGATACATTTTTTTTCATTTAAGGTAGGAGAATTTGGTGTTGAATCAAAAGTGATATTTCTAAAGTGGTATGTGTCTTTTTCTCATCACCTGTTTGCTGGAGAGTGCTGATAATTGTAAGGAGAAACTCCTTTTTGATAACTCCTGGGGAGTGAAAGGGTTTATAACAAATTAACACACTTTACAATATTATTATATCTCCTAATTTTAACACTGTGGTGACTTATATATCAGGATTGCTGGGCTTCCTACAATCGCACATTAGAAGGTGATCTTCAGCCAGATCCTACAAGATTTCCAAGTGGAATTAAGAAGCTTGCTGATTATGTAAGTGATAATAATGATTAAGAATAAAGGTAGATAATAGTAGAGTGGAATTTATTAGACTCAGAGGCACATCGGCAGCAGGCTCTTTTTTAAATGTCTCCCGATTGAGTTTGAATTTGGAGTGTTGGTTTTTGGGAGGAGGGAGGAGGAAAACAGCAGAATGGGAAGAACAACTCTCAGGGCAAGGAAGAAAAAAAACAACAAAGTGAACTAATAATTTATGGCAAGCTGGGCACTGAACTGGAACCAGAGTGAGGGAAACTAGAGCCACAGTAGGGGTGAGGGGAGGAGGTTGGGAGAAGGGGGGATGTAAGCCAGTGGGAAGAAAGAGAGACAACCACCTCCTGGTTAGCTTAATGGATAGAGTGCCAGACTGTTGAGCAGGAGGTCGAGGGTTCAAGCCCGGCCGGACCAACACTCAAGGTCTTAAAATTACTGAGGAGAATGTGCTACCTTTCTATAATATCAGGAAATGGATAGACACTCTAGTCTTCTCGGATAAGGACGAATAAATTATAGGTCCCGTCTCCTGCAGGGTAGGGGTAGGAGACATTAATTTCCCATGCACGAGATCACTGTGTGATGGATGTCCTCCCCTGGGGTGGGATTGGTGGGTACCAGGGCCCGCAGTAATTGGTGCAAGCTGTTAGGGGGTCCCTACTTGTCAGCCAAGCTAATAAATTAAATTAAATTAAATTAGACACACGCTCCAATCCTTGTACTCCTCTCTAGCTTCCTGGTGATTTGATGATTTTTACCCCACATAACCCCAATGAAATAAATTCTTTCTAACAGTAAATTATAAGTTGAGTGATGTACAGATCAAACCTCTTTGTAAAGTAATGTCATCTATTGTGCAAAACAGACAATACCAGGACTCTTTCTCTTTAGTTCCAACCATTTTCTGGAATTTGCGACTCTCCATCACAGATTTATTGAATTTTCTTTTATCAATCATTATTTTCTTCAGATTCATTCCAAAGGTCTCAAGTTTGGATTATATGCAGGTAAACTGTTCATGAAATGGCAGAACACTCAGGAATTGGATTTTGTTGTTATGTTTTAACCAAATTTGTCCCTGTAACATCTTTTCCACCTTGTCCAGTGTTCAACACTAATTCTTGCCTCATTGCCAGGGGCATGTGAAACATCTCAGTCTGTGAGCAACTAAAACAACTCTAAGACTTGTCCGATGTGGTGTAGTGACCATAAAAAGTGTCAAGCACTGTGGCCTGGTTGGTTTTATTCGTAATTCTAACAAATCAATTTTCCATGGTGAAATTAGTTGGTGAAAAAAATTAAACAAGAGGTAATATTAGTACCACAACCTAAGCACTCTACACTAAGGAACACCGGACATAGTTTTTTCATTATGGCTGTCGTTTATGTTATCTAAATTTCCCAGAGGTACAAGGTCAAAATAGTAATTGTCAATCTCTTACAATAATTGCTCTGACTTGAACTTTGTTTTCTTCTAGATTATGGTCATCTAACCTGTGAGCGTTATCCAGGAAGCATAGACTACATTCAGCAGGACATGCAGGTACCTCTTTGCTCACTGATGTTTACCGTTACATAATACTCTCTAAAAAATCATTGTCTGAAACATCATTGAAATGGTATCCCAGTTAAACCAATTTGCATGCAAAACTCCTTAAAATACAATACTCAAACCAAATGAAAACACTACCACTTGCATATCATACAATAATAATTTCCGTGGTTTGCAAGCAAGATAGATGTCGCAGTTTCTGCTGTACCTGTTTGCTGGCGTAGGCACATGTGAGAGATAAAATTCATCACTCTGTTATATATGTTCCTGTTTTGTTTTTCATTTGTAGTTGTTTGCTGACTGGGGTGTGGATTATCTTAAGATGGACGGTTGTTTTGCTGATCCTCTTACATTTGACGAGGGTTATCCCACAGTAACAAGGGCACTGAATGAAACAGGGAGACATATTGTGTTCTCCTGTAGCTGGCCTGCGTATCAAGTGTGGGGTGGAATGACGGTAATTTTGCAATCATTATGAATTTTTTTATGAATCTCAGCTAAATAACTATCTAGCCACTACACTGGCCTGCCCCTATCAGTGTCACAGAGCATAGACTTATTTTGATTATGTTTCTATGTTAGTTGTGTAAGATTATAACTTTTAGTTTATTTGCAGACAACTTTCAGCCTTCACTACCATATCAGAAGTGAAGTAACTTTCTCAGGAGCCAGATACTTTTTTCTGTCAAGTTTTAGGGTTTTAGGATCCACTTAAATTGAATTGGAGGGACTTTCACATATAAAATATAGCTTTACGTCTATGCTGTTACTTTGTAATTATTGCAAATTAGCTGCAAGGATCAATTGTGATTATGAATGTTCTTAATTTGCTTGCCAGCCCAATTACCAGCTCATTGCAAAGCACTGTAATTTATGGAGGAATTACAATGACATACAGGTAACACGCATCATTATAAAGTAACTACTAAAAGCAGTGATGTTTATTTCATCATTTTGAACCAAAATTTCTTCTAGTAATTAATCCCTGTACTGCATCATTATTGCTTTCTCTTTGTTCTTGACAACTTTTTTATTATCATATGTCCAAGGATTCTTGGCTCAGTATGGTTAGAATTGTTGAATGGTATGGTGATCACCAACATGAAATGATACCTGTTGCTGGACCAGGACAATGGAATGATCCCGACCAGGTGAGGTGTTCTAACTGCATAGAGACTTAAAGGCATCATTTGTGTTACACTTGATCTCAAAGCCACTGCCTGTCAATGTTGTACTGTTGCGCTAACAACCCATGAGCCCTGACTTTAGACCTGCCACACCAGCTTCATATCCAGCACTTTGAAACCACAACCTCCACCCTACAGTCATAAGTGATTCTCCACTTGAGAAGGCTTTCATTTGGGATACATGACACAAACAAAGATGGCCAGTATCCAAAAAGGGCCTGTGGAGGGCACCAAGTGACCTGCTCTAACCAACTGGCATCGTTTTTGAACTTTCCTAAGTTGTTGCTTTTACCTTAGAAAGGGCCTGTTTACTTATAAATTCCGAAAATTTGGTTTCCGCTGACCTACCTGCTTCATGTTATAAGTCATGCTCTTTTTCTATTGAAAATTCCAAACTGAAGGGAAAACAGTTCAAAATAGCAACCAGACGTAAAATTCATAACTTTCGGAGTAACTTGCATGGTACTTCATTGGTGCAAATTAAGAAACTAAAAATTCAGGTCAGTACGTATGTCAGGCATGAATAAACTCACTCGTTCATTTACACAGTAGAATATGAGTTATGATCAATTGCTCACCAGATGTTTTGTTTCATCAGCTGTTGATTGGAAATTTTGGTCTTAGCTAAGAACAGTCTAAGTCACAGTTTGCTCTCTGGGCAATTCTGGCTGCTGTAAGTTATGGCACAATTTTCTGTAATTGTCCTTTGATCTTTGATGCGATCTTGGTAGATATTTTACATGTAGTTTGGAGACAGATGATTATTGGTCATTTATTTTATTTTGATGTTTTCTGTAATATTTTTTTACGTTACAGCCTCTCATGATGTCAAACGATCTTCGTGATATTGCTCCATGGGCCAGGGAAATATTATTAAACATGTAAGAGGTTCAGTTGATTTAAAATAACTCAGTGAAGAAACAGCTGGATCATCACTGATATAGAAATAGATAAATTGGAAGTTAAAAGTAAGACTCTCGCAGAGTGGCCTTTGTCAGCGCTGCCAGGTTGAATTCAGGAAGGTAAAGCTGAGAACCCTGGGAAAAACTCTCGGACTGAGAACGAGAATCAACAAAAAGCTAAAACCATATGTAATGTCAGGTTTGAGAATCGAACCCAGGCACCAGAAGAAGGAAGCGAGCATTCTTACCATTGCGTCATCGCTACTCCCCACTTTCCTCTTCCAAGCCAAGTTACAGAGGATTTTCCTTTTATTCAATTTTTTGGTTTCTCTCCCTTTTTTGTCAGGGAGGTGATAGATGTGAATCAGGACAAACTGGGAAAGATGGGGCGACGAGTGACTCAGGTTAGAATCCAAGTACAGGCGAGAGTGTTTTTATGTTAAACAGGAACGAATCTGTCTTCTGATTCCTCACAAAGAAATGTTTCTTAACACAAAGGGGATCATGCATTTGTGCCGGATAGGGAAAACAAGTAAAAAACAACAAACAACAACAACAACGATAGTAACAAGAGAAAAACCAAAATGAAAACACACTTGTGTCCGATTTTGGACACCAGTGTCCGATTTTAGACTATAGTGTCCGGTTCTAAGCACTGGTGTCCGGTTTTAGGCACTAGTGACCGATTTTAGACACTAGTAGGTCTTGACTTAAACTCTAAATTTTTCCTTACAAATATAATTTTGACCTAATTTTGACCGGACATTATCGTTGAAGGGGCCTTTATTTCAAGCCCTGCACTATTGTACGATTTTAGTCACAAATGTCCGATTTTAGACACAAGTGTTTCATTTTTCAAACTAGTAATCTAATTCAAACGCTAGTCTGATTTTAAAGACTAGCTTCCGATTTCGGTCACGGAAGAGTTTATCGGAGCACTGAGATGTAACGCGAAATGTATGCAATTTGGGAATACTTTGGACATTAATATGAGAAACTCGCTATACCAGTATTTGCTTCATCGGCTATATTCTCAACTCATTTCTGACTAGTAAACTCTATATAATTGTTGATTAGTCCCCCAGGAGGTTTACTGAGGTGTGGTGTCGTCCGCTGCATGATGGATCTGTTGCTGTGGTTTTGTCCAGTCGTAGAGCTGACCAGCCCATTCACATTGAGGCGTTCTTCCACGAGGTACAGCTAAAATATAAATTTTTTGACATGGAGTCTTTGAAATGTTGAAAATTAGCTTTAATGCGTCTGTATAATTTGGCAAATCGCTGAGACGATTTATGTTTAGCACTTGAGTGGAAACATCTTTAGAGAGATATGGTTTCCGAAGTGGGTGGTTTAACTTCTTAAACTGTGAAAGTTTACTCTCACATACGGTGACTCTTCTTACCTTGTAATGTTAATGGGTGGTGGCGAATTTTCATGAAAGTTGACTCAACAAAAACTGACTGATAGCTTCATCAAAGATAACAAAACGAAATCTCGATTCTAGAGACAGGGGGACATTGGGGTTTGCGGTGTTGACCCTTTTTTCAATACGGTACATGTATTGCGATGAAGAACAACTCGCATTGCGGTGTTACGGTGAACTCAAACCTTAGGGCCTACGATGTTTTAAATTTCAAACCGACGGTGTTTGGTGAAATAAACCATTTCCAGTGTTGAAGTTTATTCTTTAACCCTTTTAAAAAACTAACCTTTGATAACCCGTGGTTAATTGATTGTCGAACGCAATGACCTTTTGATAGACTGGCAATGATACTCCGAGTCGCAATATGCCATAGAAATCGGGATAAACTTCTATCTTGATGGGTCACTTCGCTGGAATACAGACATGACGAACCTTAACAGATGTTTTATTTCGCTTTTTCTCCCTTCTAGCGTGAGAGGGATTTTCCTATTCCTAATTCAATATTATTGTTATCATTGTTTCTTTTAGGTTGGTCTGCCTACCATCATGGCGAAGGCACGCGATCTTTTTGAACATAAGGACCTCGGCACATTCAAGAAAAGCTTCAGGGCTAAAGTTAACCCTAGTGGGGTAGTCATGGTCAAATTGTCTCCTATACATTATGAGTTGTGAGATGGATCAGCAGCAGTTTGTTTTTTTATTTAAAATTATTATTTATTTGTAAAACCGCCTCCCGGTTAGCTCAATGGATATAGCGCCGGACTGTTGAGCGGGAAGTCGAGGGTTCGAGCCCCGGCCGGACCAACACTCCAGGGCTTAAAATTACTGAGGAGAATGTGCTACCTTTCTATAATATCAGGAAATGGATAGATATTCTAGTCTTCTCGGATAAGGACGAATAAACCATAGGTCCCGTCTCCTGTAGGGTAGGGGTAGGAGACGTTAATTTCCCACGCACGAGATCACTGCGTGGTGGATGTCCTCCCCTGGGATGGGATGGGTGGGTACTAGGGCCCGCAGTAATTGGCGCAAGCTGTTGCGGGGTCCCTGCCTGTCTGCGAAGCTAATAAATTAATTTAAAACGTAGATATAGAGAACCAACCAATGATCATTCTACGACCTGTCCGCGCGACACGCGTAAAGGGCAGCAAAACACGCGCGAACAAGTTGCGTTTATTATCGAGGTCTCTAAACCAAAACTATCGCATCAGTCTAAAGAAAACGAACAGTGTTTCCAACTGAAACAATCGTTAATTCTTCTTGAAACGAATTGTTCCGAAAGACCGCTTAATGGATTTTGATCAGTTTTGATCGTTATTTACGTTCGTGAACCCAGACGACAGCAAAGTGACTTCTGCAGCTGCGTACTAGTCACAATAAATTGTGTCAATCACTGGCTACGACCACATCAAGCGCAGATGACAAAAACCTAAGATGGATTTCAGTGCTTGTTTTTTGCTATCGGATTGGTCAGTTCTGTATAATTGGTAAATAGAATATGTGGATGATTACTAGCCTGTGTACAGCCGCCCAACCCCCTCGAAGAAATCGGGGAGGGAGCTCCCTCCCCGATTTTTTCGATCTCTCCCCGATTTTTTCGATCTCTCCCCGATTTTTTCGCTCCCTCCCCGATTTTTTCGCTCCCTCCCCGATTTTTTCGATCTCTCCCCGATTTTTTCGCTCCCTCCCCGATTTTTTCGAGGGGATGGGGCGGCTGTACACATGCTAGATGATTACAGGTACACAAGAGATTATAAACTGATTTTAATATTTTGATGTACACGGAAGATTTACGGAGACTTAAAGAACTGAATTTCAATATGCTATAGTTGCGTTTGAGGTGCCTTGATTTTACGACTATAAACATTGGATGACAAAATTTACCGTATTTTCAGGATCAGTGACAGTATCTTAAGTAATTGCCCACCCACCCCTTCCCTAACCGAATAATTAACCATAATTTGTTGATTGTTGGTCGTTAGGGAAGGGGTAGGTGCGTAGTTGCTCAGTTTCTGAGATTGATTCAAATTTCTCTTCTATTAGCCTTTACTTATAATTTGATTAGAATCCTTTACTTACAATACCTATCGATTTTGTTTTTAATTTTTTTTGTTTACGCAGCATTTTTGCAGTTCTTACCAGAGACATATAATCACATTTGCTCCTTTTCTTGTTTAACAGCCTTTTAATCACCGCAGAAACATGTAACTTTTCTAACGATTATAAGGTCGTCTCTGGTGAGGATGATTTCCTTCGTAGAAATTGAGGTTAAATTCAGTTCCCTGTAAGTTAGAATTGCTAAGTTAAACGCCCTGTAAACGTTGTTTAAAGTATTTTCTAGGTTGAGATTTGTAATTAGTTTTAATTTTTATTTTGAGTGTTTATATCTAAAAGCTAAAATTGCTCCAAAACTATTTTAATATAAAGTAAGAATATAAAACTTAGATTTTAAGAATGTGATAGCTAGACTGTTTTTACCTATTTTGTGATTCCGTAACCAAGATACCTAGATGGACAAGCCAAGAAAATAGAAATAGTAAAGTATACTTGTGTTTATGAGTGAAGTCCATTCAGTTATTGATTACCATTACTGGAAGCTGTAGTTCCATAGAAAGGTAACGATATCAAAGCTAGCGAAATAAAAAAAAGGTAAAAATCAAACAGCAGCCTTTTACATTGTTCATTTAGCGAAATAGCCATCATCACAGCGCGTGTCTAGTCACTGTATATTCACCCACATCTCGTTCGCTCGCGTAACTTCAAATCACTTGCCGAGTTACCGAACAGACGTTCTGGAATTCAGCTGAGCTTTCTAAGTCAATACTTAAGTAATGCAAGTTATCAACAGACCTTCTTTCTTAGCTACGACCGTATAGCGAGCTGAAAAGAGCGAATCCGCGCGCAAAGCGCAAACGGCTGCACTCGACAAGGCCCGGAAAAGAGTTACCGGCGATCTTCGTTGTTATGAGCTGTGGATAAACTCCCAGCCAAGCTGGGTAATCTTCTCACACAGCTAGAGGGACAGAGCAATACTTCTTTGTCATTCATAGCAATAAAAACAAAAAATCAAAACAAAACGTGCAGGTCTTAAATTTACAAGAGATTATCACTGGGCGTGTCCAAATGCCTTAAAGTACCTCTGAAACGGTGTTGTCCCCGTAGCTTTCCAGATTGTCCATACATTTTTGTCACGATAACTGAATCACAAGCGATTGTTATAGCTTATACCTAGAGTATGTTGGCTACACTTGAAGTCTTACTAAATTAAGTAAAATGACAACTATGGCAAATGTAACAATTACGATATCCCTAATGTTCAAGAGAAACTTTCAGGCAAAACCGCAAAAAATTCGATCAAAACCAAAAACCGCATGCAAAACCGTCTAAACTGATAAATTTGCTCATCTCAGTTGTCAAAATCCTAATCCAACTGCTACTGTGGTTACAAGTGGAGCAGCATAGGTTTCGCGGCTATTCGAGATCAGCAGAGGCGCGGCGTATAACTGCTGCCAAGAGGCTCCTGCTGCTGTTAAGATCGAAGAGAAACTCAATATGAAAAACCGAAAAAGCACATCGGATACCAAATCCGAGTACCCGTCACAATTTTTGACGAAAACCGAAAACCAAATGCTGTAAATAGAAGACCTACAAAATGCAATGAACAACAAAACCGAAAAACCGAGGTTTTTTTTGGCACAAATACCGCAAAACTGATCTAAAAAATTGGCCAAAACCGCAAAACCGTAAATCCCAATGCCCCCTCCTTTCAAATTGAATCTCGGAAAACGTAATCTATGATAAATGGAAAAAGATAAAGAATATAAATATTAAAGTTTCCGAACAACCGCTAGATAGGCACAATTATAAAAGTCTGTGATGTAAAAAATTAAATGGAACCTTAAAAACATCTAGAACGTTTTCATTACAGTTGGTTTTTACTCACGTGATCTTTGGCTCATCTTACGAGAATGATATATTTTTAGAGTCAGAAACGAAAGGTGAAAAGCGACGAAAAGGTTCCACTCTACGCTTTTGCCGCGTTCTAATTTTTGTTTTAACTAAAGGATGATCTGATCATGGAAAATATGTTACATCAGTTGAATTTATTTTGTCACCAATGGTTGATGTTACGTTATTCTGATTGCGTGACTTTTCAGTATGAGAGGACCTGGTATATCGCCTCTCTCAGTTTCTATGCACAATGGCGCCCGGACTGTCTTGCGTGCTCTTACTAATTGTTTTTATGGCATCATGGCAGGAAAACTTATTTGTAAAGTCTCTTGACAATGGTCTAGCCTTAACACCACCAAGTAAGTTGCTAATATATATTAGTTTTGGGCAACTTTCGGGAAGAATATCGCAGATCAGTTGCGGTTATATATATCACATGATACACAGCTGATCACTGACTTGTAATCAGCTTGTCAAGTGTTCTAGAAGAAAATCTTACGTCTTCTTCTATCGGACTATGACTAACTGGTTTCTTTCCCCCAAAGTTGATTTGGTTTTTTTTCTTTTTTTTAGCTAATTTAGTTCGTTAAACTTCATTTAGAAGTCAATTGAAAGCTGGGAAAGATTTCCGCACAGCCCCATACTAAATACAGTTCTTGGATAAAGAAATCAATGGGTTGCCTCTAGGACAACTGCTTTTTTTAAGAAGAATCTCTTTCCAGCATTTACAAGCAAAATGATTAAAATTCAGTTGTAGAGAACTTGTTCAAAGCAGTCACTCTTTGCAGGAGAAGTGCTTACCTTAATAGGTGAGGACAGACAAGATGAAGCTCAAAAAAGTGAATAAGTTCTCCTGGAGTTTTCTTGGGACAGGGTGATGTTTTCCACCATATGGACAGGATAAGAGATTAATCAAGGATGAAGACAATATTTTCCAAGGAGATGTCCTACATTAGTGGAGTTAGGGGGAGGGAGGGGTAGCTAGGTTGCTTTTGACAATTGCTATAATGGACCCACACCCTTGTTTATTACAGCAGCGTTTCTTTCCTTTTATAGTGGGATGGATGGACTGGGAGAGATTCCGTTGTAACACAGACTGCAAAAATGACCCTGACAACTGCATTGGGTAACTGCTTAATTTATTGATTTATGTTTATTTACAGCAGTTATAAACAAAGCAGGGGGTGAGAGTGTTTGCTTTGTTTGTCCACATTTGACTTCCTTTAAGCAGAGGCTTTTATAACTTTTTCTATAAGTGGCTGCTGATGGTGTAATGGGTGGCTAATATTGCAGGTGGAAACATGTGAAATTCTGTCCTTTTTCTCAAATCAGTGATGTATAAAACCTCTTGACTAATGTTCTTTAAATCAGTAACTTGGTGCAAGTCATGGAATAAATTAGAATAAGAAATTAGAATGGAAAACAAAATTTGTAATGTTCTTTGGGTTGATAGGAGGCTTATGCAATCGGCAAGTCTGCACACTGATCTGTAATATGGAGAAGTTTGGTGCAGTTTAAAATGTTTCTTTCTTTAACTGTTTCAGTGAAAAATTATTCATGGATATGGCATCTCGTATGGCTGAAGATGGTTTTAAGGATGTTGGCTATGAATATGTGTCTATTGATGTAAGGTTTGATAATTGTTTATTTAAATTCATCGTCATTTGCTGTTTGGTTTACTCTGAAAATTGTAGAGATCTGAGGATAACTGAGGACTGTTTGGACCAATTATTTTGTGAGTTTGGATCTATGGAGAGGAGGTGTTATCCCTGAGAGATGTCAACTGCTTGTAGTAATAATTCAAATGCATGGATTAACTTTGTGGTAGGGAATAAACTCAGGAAGGTAAAGAGATGTGATCTTGTTGTGGTGAGATTTAAAGCAAAGAAAGGATCTTCACACTCAGGTGGATTGCTGTTTAACCTTTCAATTCTTAAGATCTGATTGTAAATTCTCCTCTTTAGCTGCTACACATTTCCTCGTAAATTAGTTAGGAGAATTTGGTGTAAGATCAAGGTAACAACTTCTACCTGATAAGTTTGAGTATTCTCATTACCTGTTTGCTGGATAATATATAGATATTATAGTGAGAAGTTATCTGTCAATCTCTTCTCTGGATTGGTACCTCTTCCTTTCAGATTCTAGTTGGGCATTTGTCAAATTTGTTTAGTTCAATTTTCTGGTTTTCTTAACTGTCATGTTTAATAGTTACCTGCAAGTGAATTAAGAGTGGAGACATTAGATAGGCCTTCCCTGTTACTCATTTTTTATTCTCTAATTTGGGATTTTCTGTACCTGCCCTGCTAATACTTGTCAAAAAATTCACAAAAGTCACTTAAATTTGCAGGATTGTTGGATGTCTCATAACCGAACAGCTGACGGTCAACTCCAGCCTGATCCTGCCAGATTTCCGAGTGGAATGAAAGCTCTGGCTGACTACGTAAGTTTGTTACAATACTTTAATCCTTTTAAAAGTATTTTTTGGTAGAGTTTCTTCCTAAAAGAAATGTCTATTTTTCTCTAAGATTACTCGTACCATTTTAATTTCAGATTCATTCTAAGGGATTAAAGTTGGGAATATATGCAGGTATAGCACTAGAAGACCTTACATGTATGTTAAAATATCATTATAGTTTTGTTCACTTGTAAAGATTAACATTAAGATTAATTGTTGCTGTACATCTGTACAGTAATAAATCACAGATGATGTCAAAATGTGGTAAAAACAGAAAAGTGGCACACGAGGTGCAGCTGACTGTGTCATTGATATTCTCACCTCATCCAGATGTCTTCTGTGATCTATTCTGTTTGATTTGATAAAAACTGAAGCAAAATGTAGTTAATGGTGATCTTGTAGAGGTGTCTGTCTTCCAACAGATCATGAGTATTTAATAAGCACCAATCAAAATATGTTTATAATTTAGCTCATTATTTAAAGACATATTACTAAATTGTTTTGTTCATAGTTCTGTGCATTATCATTTCTTAAGATTATGGAACAAAAACCTGTGCAGGATACCCAGGAACCATTGATCACATTCAACAAGACATGGATGTAGGTTAATAGTCATGTTGTTTGTTGCTATGTATAAGTTATTTTATATGTAGCTTTAAAACTGTGCCAGAGAGAGACATTCTTACTTTTATCTGTTCACCCTTTAAGTGACCTTTGCATCAATATTTCCCATAATTGTTTCACTGACTCCTTTTCAGACATTTGCTGGCTGGGGAGTTGACTACCTAAAGCTGGATGGTTGTTATAGTGACCCCGACAAAATGGATACAGGTTACCCAATGGTCACCAAAGCCCTTAACAACACAGGCAGACCAATAGTATTTTCCTGCAGCTGGCCAGCCTATCAAAGTGCAAAGAAAACCGTGAGGATAGACTTCATTGTTAACATATTTTTCTTGGCCTATAATGTTGACTTCTATGCTGAAGGCGAAATTGTGTGAGATGACATAGTGACCTTATTACCAGGGGAGCGGAGATAACGCAGTGTCAAGAGGGCTGGCCTCCCATGGCTTGGGTTTTGATTCCCTGACCTGGTATGATGTGTGGGTTAAGTTTGTAATTGTTTCAATTTGAGGTGGAAACAGTGGACAGTTATTACTAATATCAACTGCTAAGTTATTGTACAGTTGCTACTTTCCAATATTATTGGCTGTTTAATGACTTAAGTGTTAATTTTACAGCCCAACTATACATGGATAGCTGAAAACTGCAATTTGTGGAGGAACTACGATGACATACAGGTACTTTATTTATGTCAATAAACAAAGCACATGACCTTGAATAAATTTTGTTTTACTTTTTCTTCTGCAGGATTCTTGGCAAAGTGTTACATCAATAGTTAAATGGTATGGTGACCATCAAGATGAAATGATCCCAGTTGCAGGGCCGGGAAACTGGAATGACCCTGATATGGTAAATAGATTAGAATGGCTTAGTTACCACAACTAAACTACAGAAAACAAAAATGATTTTGAAGAGTTTGTGGATTAATTGTCACAGCCACACAAGGGAGACATTTAAATACTGATTTCTTGCTCATCTTCTAGTGTATAAGGAGTAGCATACAATGAACTCTTAGGATAAAAAAGAAAAAGTAGAACTATGTGTAGAGCTTTCAAGGTTATGCAGATTCCACGTGTAGTTGAGCTTGATTTGTAAAGTGAGCTTGGTATTGATATTTGATTCCCACTAGGTTTATCAAAAATCTGAATTTATTTGTATGTTATTGTCTTTCAGCTCATTATTGGAGATTTCAGTTTAAGTTTTGAACAGTCAAAGGCACAGTTTGCTCTGTGGTCTGTCATGGCATCTGTAAGTATCTTTGACATAGATGACCAACAGATTTAGTTGTACAATAAAGCAAACAGTGACTTTGATAGTTCTTACACAGGGACAGAGATTGACATATCTTCTTTGACACTTTGTCTCAAATACAGTGGAACCCCACTAACTTGAACTCCCCAACTAGTAGGGGTCCAAGTTTGAGTTAGCAGAAATTATCCTACTGCATTTATATCTTATAAGCAAATGATCTCAAGGCTGGCAAGCGTGGTCATGAACTGAATCAATGTGATTTGACTTTTTTCCAGCCCCTTTATTATGTCCACTGATCTTCGTAACATTGCACCATGGGCAAAACAAATCCTTCAAAACAGGTATAAAATAGAGACCTCTTAATTAACACTGCATTCAGAATAAATCATTTATTAGATGCAATGAATATATGAAGTTCATACATTTTGAACTGCGGTATTAGATACGTATGATGTGCGATCCTCGCAGTAGATAGCGCTATTTATGCAATAGCGAAAATCAGACCTGAAAAAAATCAGGCCTGTACGGGACTCGAACCACTGACCTAGTATCGCAGAGGTCAGTGGTTCGAGTCCTGTACAGGCCTGATTTTTTTCAGGTCTGATTTTTGCTATTGCATAAATAGCGCTATCTACTGCGAGGATCGCACATCATACGTAAATCATTTATTATATGCAAACTAAGAGTTTTGTGATCAGGGGATAAAATTTCAGCTAAAATTTGGCCAAAATTTGGAAATCTTTTCTTTAGAGGTAAGATTTTTATGTTTGATGTGTGTAGATAGATTTTTCCAATCCCTAAACAGGGCCAGTCATCAATCGGTCAGTCAAGCAGTTACTGAAAGAAACCCATTCTGGTGTATGTTTCAGTGATGTGATAGCTGTCAATCAGGACAAACTGGGGAGAATGGGGAGGAGAGTTCTGCTGGTGAGGAATGCACATATTCTGTTCTTCAGAGTTGTAGTTATCAGTTACTACATGTTGGTATAATTCCACTCTCTGGAGCAACCTTTTGAATTTAAGTTTATTTTATGATGTACCATGTTATTGTTTGCAATTTCAGGAAGGAAATAGAGAGATCTGGGCGCGGCCCTTGTCTAATGGATCAGTTGCTGTGGTGTTATTTTCACACTCGGAGTCTACCCCTGAAACTATAGAAGCAAGTTTTAAAATGGTTAGTAACATAGAGTTATCATATTATTGATGCTTAAGAAAATATTTGCCAAACCTTTAAGATTATTGAAGAACAGAACATATTGTGTAATGCATATAATTATGGTTCTTTTTTCTTCAGGTTGGGTTAAGTGCCGAAAAAGCTGAGGCACGTGACCTGTTTGAACACAAGGATCTTGGAACGTTCACAGGAAGCTTCCATGCCATTGTTAACCCAAGTGGGGTAGTAATGGTCATATTATCACCAGTGACGGTCTTGGATGTCTAATGAAATTTGGTAGGGCCATTACTAAAACATTTGTTCTAAATTTTCTATTTTCGGGACGTTAATAAATCTAAATCGGTTGCTCAATTCCCACCAACTTATATTAAGAGAGGTCACCTAGTCTAACAGGGAAACGAGAACTGGCATAAAAATCGTTCAAATTCGAAAAATTATAAAGGGTTATGATCTAAACGGGTATGAAATGGTTGGTGGCACTTATTCGGACGAGTGAGTAAGGAAAACTAGAAACTGCTCCTCTGTGCTTTGAAAAACCGAAAAACGGATGTCGAGGGGGGGGAAGAACCGAACCACGTTAGATAGTAAAGATGAGAATAGAAGAATTGCTTGCAAAAACTGTCAAATAGATCTAAAAAAAAAAAAAACGAAAATAATCACGAATTTGACGTATTTTTCCCAAGCTGACTTCAAAGTTTAGTTTGGGAATCGCACTGGTCCTATTTTTTATTCCTTCCATTGTTATCTAAAAAATTTAAAATAAATTTTCAATGTTGTCATATTTTTCCATTTCAGGCTGAACCTGCGAACACAACAAACTTTTACAGATTACCTTTTTTGTTTGCTTGTTTTTAATATTTTATTTTTGAAAGAGTGTAGTGTTGACTATGCGTCTAGTCAATTTGCCTTATTTTTCGTCATGTAATCAGAGGCCAAATAAATTCAATTTGCTTAGAGTAAGTTAAATTTAGAACTAAAGGGCTATGTTACCGGAATACTACACGTTTTTACTGCTAATTACGAAATGCACCCATTTGGGTATTGAAAATACAACTTTTATAAAATCATCGTATTTGAACTGGAGGTGAAACTTCCACTCAACTAGTCAAGGGCTGTTTCGTAGTCTTGTTAGCTCAAACCAGATAAAACACAATTTTTCACTTACAACTTTGTGTATTGAAATGTTTGTTCAGATTTCGCGCTTTGTTTCCTGATGGCTTAGTTTTTGCTCTTGGCTGTAAAGTTTCGTTTTTAAACCAGCCGTAAATTAGGGCAGTGATATTTTCTGCCATTTTCTGTCTTAGGGAAATTCCAACGGGGGAAATAATCACCGTATGTTCCGCCTTTACGAATCATCGTGAAGCAATTATATGCTACATGCAAAATCTCTGCTTTTCTTAATTGCAGGTTGAACTGAGTTAAAACTCTGTGCGCGGTTGTACACCCCAACGCCGTAAACGATGCACAGTTCGCCCATCTCTGGATTCACACTCAGCTCTCGGTCTATGACAAGCTTGTCGATGCTAGCACTCAGAGAACCTATCACATCGAACATTCGCTCTCTCTTGATACCTACGTAATTCGGATTGCTCCGCTTTAAAAATGAAGAATACAATTTGGTTTAGTCAAATGTGCTCTTCTTGGGATCTATCTTTATCAGTTGTGAGGGTTTAGTATATCTCGCAAATTTGAAAATCGTTCAGACACTTATTTAAAATGCTTCACCTGTATTCTTGTCTAAATACGTTCTTTGCACTCCCTCCTTAATCTCCATTCTGCAAATTTTCTTTTCACTAAACCAACACTAAATTTTCCCACAGAGCTCCATTCTCCTACTTGTTTTTATGTTGCTTTATTTAAGTTTATAGTAGATTTAAACAGAAAAGACTATTTTTCATTAGTTTGTTTTTGTATCAACCTGCAATATGTCTTTTCGTACCCTTGAAAATGAGGGGTCATTTCAAATCCTATACAGAATTCCCGTCTGGCACTAACGAAGGGGAAAATATGTAAAGCAATGAAACAAGGTTAACACACTCTTTAGAAAGTTTTTAAAAAAGTTCCATTGAAGGAAACGCCGTCAACTTTTTATGAAACACTTCAACTTTAAGGTAACGCTAGGGTTGAAATAAGTAATTCGAAAGTGAATTAACAGGGGTAAGAGTAACGGAATATCTTCACTCAACAACATTTGGCGACGAAGAGCTAACGCTCGAAACGTCAGCTTTTGTAATCGTTACGGTGGCCAATTTACCATTTCAACTTTGTTGATATATCCAAATTATAACATTTTAACGAGTTCAGTGACTGCGTACAAAATGGTTGAAATAATATGGCTTGAGCACGGAAACTGGCCTCTTTTTAAAGTTTTAACTTCTGTAGCCATTGAATATTAGGCTCTTAATTGCTGCGGATCTCTGATAAATTTTAACTTCGAATTCTTTTGAGGATTTTCTCAACTTTATCCTCTTTTCCAGCCAGGTGGGTTCTGATAAGGGACATTTCCAGGACTCATAGCCCAGTAAGTCCATCCCTTTTGGTACCAGGGGCCATATGGGTTTTCTTTGATTGCCGACGGGTTTTTCTGGGGTTGGTCCTGACCAATATTATCCGGGACTTTCTGTTTAACAAGGCTGTCCATAAATCTTTCAATAGAAGCTGAAAAAAAAAAAAGAGGATTTAACCAAAGAGACGCTGAGATCTTTTGCAAATATCATATACAAGTATGATCTATAGTTCCTGACTATAATACAATGATCAGAACCACTGCTGACTAATTTAGTAACCGCGAAATTCGTTTACTTACACGCTCTGCGGACGTACCTTTGTCTTGATTTCCGCTGTATTCTCCAGCATATTGCCCGCGACGGAAAACTTTCAATTGAGGCCAGCTGTGCACATTGAACCTGTTTTCACAGATACTCCTTCCATCGCCGAAGCAGTCAATCTGTTCAGAACAGTAATCAGCTCTTTAGGACTTAAAAGGCCCGAAGAAGTTTATAGCGTCCATGTCAGGCTACTGTGGTACTTGTTTCACGATGTCTCTTATGCAATAATGTTGAAAGGGCTTTTGATAACATGGAAAAGTAATTGTTCTAGAGAATGCAATAGTTCCAGGGATGGAGCGCTGAGGGGTTTGGGAACGAGTCTCCACCCAGTCCTATGCCCATATTGATGGCTGTTCGGGTCTGGCACTAGATTTTTTTATAGGTCAAACTGAAGTTTCAATACAAACCTTGGCGAAAACAAATTTCCCCTTCAGCGCAAAATCCTTTGCGGCGCTGTCAAACTCGGGCTTTAATCTGGCACAGTCGCTGCACCTGAGGGGGGAGGGGAAGGATTATATTGTCACTTGTTTGCACTGGTTTCTTGTCAGGTTCTGTTGTGGTACCATTACACTTGGTAGTAAGAATGGCAGTAAGGATGGCCGGGGACAGAGTAATAGCTCTGATAACTCCTGGCATAAGATACAGGCTCATTTGGTTTAAATCATATCTTAATTAATAGTGGCGAAGAACACGGCGTCAAAGAGTGAATCTGTTGCCGACAGAATACGAAATTTATTCGATTTTCTTCTAAAGAAGTTAAATGGAGATGTGTTAAATGGATGAGTGCAATAAAATTTTAAATCAATGAATTTATCAAAATATGTATCAGGAAACACCAATGACAACTAAGTTTAACCATTATCAAAGAAAAAAATAAACTATAAGCCAGACGAAAACTCTGTGACAAAACTTAAATGCCTAACCTGCCGTACAACTCAACCGTAAACGGATAAACAATACGGTTCTATTTCACCTGTTTGTCTTAAAATCGGACGCTTCACGCGTCAGCCGTGTAGTCATCAAACAACCACTGATTGTACCTTTTTAAAAACTGGCTCGTCGAATTCGTTGTTTTCTACTTCTTCGTTTATCAGTTGCGCTGTGTACACGGACCAAAATCCAAAGAGCCAAAACTTACCAAGGTGCGTAAAAGTCCACCAACATCGTCTCTTTGTCTTTCAAAAAATGGTCAAAATCGTTATCAGTCAACTTTAAGACTGGATTAGATGGAGCGCAAAAACTTGTCCCTACAAGGGACAAGGCTATCGAAAGTATAGCCGTAAACATTGTTCACTTGTTTTAGAGATTCTGGCGTGATCTACGAGAAAATCATCGAAAGTGTTGATTTAAGGCACTTCACATTCTACCCTTCATATGTCATATTCGAGCATTCTGATTGGTTGATCTTGCCCCCTTCGCCAATTAATGAGTAGTTTTTGTATTGCATCACATTATTCCAAGTGTAAGTAATGGATCAATGTCGCATCACCCACAATTATCGGTGTTATTTGCCCAAAGATCTGGTTCTGCGAATTTTTGTATTTACCATCTCAAAATCAGGTTAAAAAAAAAGCCTACTTCACTACTCATTGTCATGTTGTGTTTTTATCGCATATATCGTTTCTGGTCAACTAACTCGTGCTGATTGACAACAACAGGTGTGTAGTTTTGCTTTACTATCGAATTAAATTTCAACCTGTCGGAGATTTGATTACCAAACAAAACCTGCTCAGGTAATGTAGAATTTGTTTATATTCAAGATAGTATAAGTTAAGTTAGTGTCGACATAGCAGGAGTCGTGAGGGGTGAGTAAACTTCTCCCATTCTGGTACGCATGAAATAAATCTATCTCAAAGTCGATTCGAACATGAGACATTGTAATACCGGTGCTACAAACGCGAAGGTCGCCCATGCCAGCACGGGAAAATCATAACGTGTGCACCCCACGAAAGGCGCGGAAAAAAAAAACACCACCACACACATTAATAGCGCAGCAGAGTAAGACCCCATTTGTATTCCTGATACATCACCTGATTGACTTAATTTGCTAGGACTTTGTTCGTCTTTGTTCTTTAGTGTTTGAATAAAGAGACTTAAGATTTTAGGCATTGACAATCGCCATTCTTGTGCTAATCCAAAACTGAACGTGTGCAATGCAACTCCTCGTGTATGACGTTTGTCTACCACTATTCGTTATTCGTAACCCCTTCGACCCTGAGACTAACCAGCATCCAATTTCTCCAAACTATTTCACCCCTGTATTAAACATTAAGGTCACGAGAACAAACTAAATGATCACCAACTTAAAACATGTTCGTGATTGTTAAATAAATTCTCCTCGTCAGCTCGTTAGGAAATGTATAGAGAACAGTATGGAGAATATGCATACTGATGTTAGGGTGTCAGTGAACGGGTTAATCGGGAAATTTCGGTAATCATTTATATTAATATTCTTGGTTAAATATCTGCTAAATAATTTCCAATGCATTTGCAAGAAACACTGATAAGTAAAAAAATAGTTTTATTTTCATTTTTATTTCGACTTTACAAAATATACTTTTATTGAAATTATAATTTTCAGATTGGCTGTTTTGATTCTTTATAGTCTATTTCTGCTTTCTTCCGCAATACGAGAGAAAAGAAGGAGAAATGTGTTGATCAGAGATCAAAAGAGGGAACTTCTATCGTCTTCTCGTAGATAAAATTACTGTAACTTTTTTCTAACATATTTCATTGATTTTTTTGATGTACCAAATAAGGAAAGTGTCATGTGCAAACGAAAACTATCATGTGCAAACGATTCGCACGTGAAGATTGATTTGGAAGGAACTTTGCACTTGGATATGCCAGAAGAAATGTTACTCATCAACTCAAGGTGGAGAGAACTCTTTACAAAAATTCAGAGACCAATTTTTGGTTTAAAAACATTCTCGTTCCAGATTTGGAATAACCTCAGGTGTCTCTCGCTTCTTAATTTAGTTCTTCACCGGGATTCGGGTTTTAAACCCGACCCACTACCACTATGGGCTTCACCATTCACAGCATCCCCAACGCTACCCTGCTGAGATATATTTTGTGTCTGGACTCCAGATCCAGATCCCGCTTGTTCAGGAGACGCTTCAGGGATCTGAGGCTTAGCCCTCTCAACGTCAACGTGTACCTCCTCACTCGGCTTAGTCTTCTGCGCACTTTTTGTTACAGCATTCCTCAGAGCGTCCTGGATGGCGCTCTCAATGTCAGCTTTCAGATCCTTGAGAGCTGACGTGTCTGGTTTTGATGGTTTTGATGGCGAATCGCTTGGCTGTTCAGGGAGAGATAAAGGAAACTTTTCCACAGGTTGGGGCTGCTGAAAATTAATGAGAAGTGTAAAGGGAAGTGCAATCTTTGGATTAAATTATTCGGTTTTTTTCGAGCATCGAAAAGTTTTATATTTGAAGAGTTAAGAAAAAAGTGTTAAAACCCTCAGTGCGAGTTGCAGCTTACCTATAATGTGCACAATGTCCTTAAAACGTTTAGTTACTTATCTCTATGAGCTCCAGTGGCGTTAAATGTAGAGCCGTGGAGACCTCCATTATTTTTCTTTGTATTTTCTTTGCATTGCTGTATGTATTTTGAGGCACCTGAACTTAGAACTGAGTTTCAAAATTATAGCAGAGTGGAAATACCTCATTCTGCTTGAAGGTTTGTTGATCGCCCTGCGACTGTTGTTGTCGTTGTTGTTGTTGTTGTTGTTGCTGGAGTTGCTGTGCCTCCTGTAGAAACCGCTGTTGTTGCTGTGGCTCTTGTTGAAACTGCCGGAGTTGCTGAGGCTCCTGTTTATATTGTCGTTGTGGCTGCTTCTGTCTAAATTGTTGCCTCTGTTGCTTTGGCTGACGGTAATATTGCTGCCGGGAAGCTTGTTGAAATTGTTGCTGTCGCTGGTGTTGTTGTTTGTAATAATAAGCTGCCTGGCTGTTGAATCGAGTTCTACCAGGCTGACGATTGTAAGCGGGGTTTCTGAGAGCAGCAGGACGCGGCGCAGGTCTTCTTAGCTTCCCAGGATTCTTACCCTTCCCGTGACCCATTTTACTTCTGTAATACGGACTACTGGCCACAGCTTGATAACCATAAGGACTGCCAAACTGGTTGGGATAACCCATGGTATTGACTCCATAGCCAGCTTGGGGATACGCGCGATTGATCTGCACATTCTGTGCTGCCAGGGCCTCGGGTCGATAATACCCGCGATAGGGCTGGGGCTGAGCGAATGCATTTACACCGGGACGAGGCGGATGAGTTACCGCGCCTGGAAAGGCTTGAGGATTGGGATTTACGTTTGCTTTACTGGCCATAAGTTTCATTCTGTACTCTTTAAGGCGACGCTGATAGTTCTTGTAAGCTGCGATCATTTTAAGCTTAGCTCTATAAATGTCGAGCGACGACAGGCTGCCAAATTTTGACTGCAAAGAGTCTGGGCTTGCTTGTTGCTTGCCAAGAAAAGCAGCCAGGTTTGCAGGAGGTTGCGCATGCGCTGACGCACCGTAAAACGAGTTCATAAGAGACGGGTTCTTCGCGTGCATGTTTGCCTGATTCGTGAAAGTCGGCGCAACGGCCGCGGCTGCTGCTTGAATTGCGGGAGCATGGTGCAGAGCTAATAACTGAGCGTGCGGCTTGTAGTTAATTGGTTGACCCAGAGGTGTAGCCAAACTGTTGACCAGCGGTGCACGTTGCGAAAACGTTGAGGCCACCGAATCGACATACTGCATCAGTGAGCCTGTGCAAAAAAAAAGAAAGATGCGAAGGGTTATCATTTATGATATACTCACTACTTCTACCGTCAAAGTTTCGATGATAGAAGTTTCCTCTCAGCCTCTATCGACGCCGTGAATAGTAACAGCTCTACTGATTCACTAACCTCTGTCTCGCTGTCCAACATAATCTCCAACGTACTGACCATACTTAAACAACTTAATCGTGGGGTAGCCCTGTATGTTAAACCGCTGACACAACTGTTTGCCGTCGTTGACACAGTCCACCTGTCAAGAGAGTTAAACGTAGGTTTTTGATTAAATAAAAAAATGAATAAAACAAATAAATTGACTAATAAAACTATGAATAGATAACTGAATAGAAAAAAAGTAAACTGGCAAACTAGTTAACGCCGAGCTAGGATACGTGATAGCCGCGTTTTTTTTTTTCCACATTTGCACGCAACCACCCTTCCCTCCCCCATACGTACTGAGCACGGTGAACTAACCTTTGCAAACACATACATGTTCTTGGAAGCGAGTTGTTCAGCGGCTGCATCAATCTCGGGGCTCAGTTCTTTACAATGTGTACACCTAAAGGTAAAATCAAAATTGATAACAGTCTAATCAAGCTACTAAAAAGCAAGAGATCTGATTGATGTTTACTGTAGTCTAGACAGAGAGAGAAAAAAGGAGAAATGAAGCCCTTCAGCCCCTCCCAAATAAAAGATCACAAACAAAAATCCACAGACTCCTGAACCAACACGTGCCATTGACCTATTCTCGTAGCGTACATACATCCTTGATTCCAAGTTATTCCGACCATACGATTATTCATTTGGGAGGCTACAATTGTTATCATCGTACATCCTCTTATATCCTCAAAAGCGCTTTTTCAAAGTAGCTCCTTGGCCTCATCTAGTGATCTGAATTGTGAGCTGACAAAGTTGTAAAACTCGTCAGCTGAATCTATCTTTTCTCTCACCATGAAACGAACGGGTGGCTGGTCATTTCAAGTTTGTGCATGATCACAGATTGAGAGAAATCAAGAAGACAGGTCGACAATGTTTGCTGAGGTCAAAATCATCTATGATTCTGCTCTGACCTCAATGGTTTCCCTTCTAAATGTAAAAAAAAAAACCTATTCACTTGACTGAAAAAGAGCTTGACATAATTGATAAAATGACCGCAATGACAACAACACATGTCACTAAAACAACAATTATGTTTTAATTTGGAAGCCATAGCTATAACGTTTTTGTAAAGGAGTCTACAATTCTGGGGTAGGGTCTCATAGGGTTCTATTCTTTTGCACGTTATGGCCATTGTCGTCAATTTTCTACGTTTCTAAAACGTTGCAATTGATGTCCAAGATGTCACTTTAACTGTTCAAAACAAGGATGTGGTGAAAGACTCTACCTGCTATCTGTTGGATGTTTATCAAATCGGATAAGAAACAGGTTTATTTGTACTCCGTAAGAATAACGGACGAAAATTCATAATTTCCAAACTTATGGTTAAGAAGAACGGATAATTTTCCATCGAACTTGGGGAGAATATGAAAGCAAGAATACGTTTAACAACTCCTTCGCATAATTGACCTCTTAATTTGCCTTATTACACTATTCGAATATGAATGGACAAAGAAAAAGGAGAGCGAAAACGCCCTTTAAAGCAAAGGTGTTTTGTATGTACATGGAAGTACCAGTTAAAAAGATCGTAAGCTTGTGAACGCAGTCAAGCGTTTAATGCACGATTCTAAATGTCAACACGTTTAATACAACTCACCAAGGCGCGTAAAAATCAACCAGCATTATGTCCTTATCCCGGATGTAACCTTCGAAGTCCCGTTCGTTGAGATTGTACACATTATTGGAGCCAAGACAGCCTGGCCAATTAATTACAGCTAAAACAACTAGAAAGGACAGCATTTTGAAGAACTTAGCTCTCGATTGCTAATGATATTATATTTCCGGGAGTTATATTTCATCTAAAGTGTGCGGAGTTTCTATTGGCTAAGGGTGTTTAATCATTATTTATTTAAGGTAAATTACCTGAACCAGGCAACCCGCCGTCAAAGCAAGGATAAGATCAATTTATTTTCATCAAGAAAACACACCCTTATTTTGGCATTTTGCAAAATATTTACGTTTCTATTTATTCAAGGTTAAAAAATATGAATGAAACATCAGGGAAACGCAAATTGTGGCTCAAAACAAAAGTTTTAAATCAGATCACAGGTTGTCTTGTAAAGAAGGGCGGTGCGAGGTTGTTTACGACCCTTCAAATTATTTGAAGTTCCACCACCGATAAATACGAGACAGAGGTGCATTTGATAACAACTTAACCACACCCAAGAACATAGATGAAATATTGCTCAGACACATTCTGAAGCTGTTCAACTCTTTCCAATCAATTATTCGTTGCTGCTTCCAGGTTGCTCATGTAAAACCTGACAAGTGAGAGTTAATCAATATACGAATTTCTTGGTATGTTTATTTTTTCAATGATGGCTCTTGGGCGTGCCCTGTATAATGTAGAAACAAAGCCTTGGAATCGCGGGAAAATGAAAGTAATTCCCTGCGTAAATAGGACTCTCTGATTGGTTCTGATGTATTGGTGCGCGTCACATTGTATGACCTGTTAAGGTCCCCTCCTCTACCAAGACCCTAAAATTTGGAATTCTGTCGCAGCTTTTAGACCAAGCTGTGTTTTAATTTAAGTAAATCTGAATTGGCCAAGCCACTCTTTAATAGCTTACAAGTGAAGGTGAACACTGTCTTCAAGTGTCTAAAACCGGTTAACTGTTTACCTATGTGTGGTTCCTCTCCGAAGGCCACACTTTGCAAGCAAGTTTCCATCAGGAATAGCATAAAAGTTATCAAGTTTACTGATATACACGTCCACTACATTGCGTGAAGGAGACATTCTTTCAAAGGTACAAAATCTCGTTTTCCATGGAGTGTGCTGTTTTTAGATCAAATCTTTTTATCGCAAGTTTTACGCGGCTATTTATGGTAACTTGGTCTGGTGCATCCCACATGTCTTGATAATGGATCAGCATCTAATTATCGTTTGGCTACGCGTGAAAATGAGGAAAATAAATTTTAAAGGAGAAAAAAACTGCATTTACTTTGTATGAATATCAAGTAATGACGTAATTTAGCCTCAGAAATCGGGTGAAATCTTCTCCAAAGAAGTCTTCAGCTGCTCGATCACTTCATGTGTTGTTGGCGATTTTGAGAAAATTTCCTCAAAACTGGTTTTGATCGATCTGTAAGGAAAAAAAAAGATAGAGAGTTCATTTAGTGACATTAAATATCACAGGAACATTTCTCAGATATTCTAAAGATAGCCAGTGTTTATGCATTGACTTTTTAACAGCGAAGTGCATTTCCTATGCCTCAAAAGCGTCAAAGCAGCTCGTATTTGAGTTTAGATTTGCTAAAAACTGATAGCGAAGCTAATAAATAAATCGCAAAATCAAGTGACGACAAACCGAACCTTAAACCTCTCAATTCTTATGGCAGGTTTGCTCCCTCAGAAAAGTCACGGCTCACAGGCATACGACAAACATCACTGCAGCTTTGGTAAAGTCTGTCAACAACCCTTCGAATCTAACTGAAAGGTACCCACCGTCTTGACATTATCAAGTTCTCCATTTCACGTGATTTTGCGGCCGCTGTGTTAATTATTTCATTCGGAATTCCCGCCAAGCGAGCCACATTTAACCCGTAGCTCCTAGCAGCCGCTCCATTCACCAAGTGGTAAAGGAACGTAACTGACGGTACGACGGGACACGCGACATTGTTGTCTTCACCTTCCCCTCCCTCGGCACAGGTGGTGCCCTGCTCTTCTGATGTCATGAATGCCATGTGATTGTTGGTGACTTGGTTTGGGAAGAATCTGTCCAGCTCCGCTAGAGACGGATAGTGTGTTACAAACAGAGTCAAGCTTGCTATCTGTGGGAGAAAAAATTGGTGGGATTGAAGGTAACGTTCTACATAATTATGGTGTATTGTCGAAATAAAGATTTTGCAATAAGTAACGCCTTCTTTCAACCATAAGTGACACCGACCTTGCTAATGAAGTGGTGTACGGTGGCATAGGCAATGGCCGTGCCGTCATGAGTACTAGTACCGCGGCCCAACTCATCAAGAATGACAAGTGACTTAGAAGTAGCCTGGGCAATAATGTCAGACGTTTCCTGCAACGGAAGCAATAGACGGTCAATGAACTCTTACAACGAGCGTCTTAATGCTAAATCAAACCTTCACAAGTATATATAGCACAACGAGGATTTGTTTCAAAGATGATTGGCTCGGAATGTCGTCAGGACTTGTTCGCTTTTAAAGTCATTGTGATAGCTTCACAAATATGCGTAAGCTGCTCTACAGGCTGGAAAGATTTAACGAAAAGCCCCTATACCAGTGACAACACTCCTTTTCAAAGGCGCTTTTCACTGGTAATGAGAAATTCCAAATTAGAAACGTAAAAACTTACAAATCGGAAAAGAAACCTACAGACTTTATTGTAGATGAAATGGAATAAATTTTCAACTTGCCTGAAGTTCAACCATGAATGTACTCTGTCCTTTGTAAATGCTATCTGTAGCCCCCATCCTGTCCATACATAACGGAATTACAATTAAACAAAAAGTAACCAAGGCCTAGAAACCAAACTGGCGTAAAAATACATTTTGGCTTACAAGTCATCACCTTGTAAAAACTGCATCTAAAACTCCAACCCGTGCTTCTTCGGCTGGTACAAATGAGCCGACCTGGGCAAGAATAACAATCAAGGCAACCTGCGAGGTAAAATGTTAATGAACTTGGAATTAACCTTCCCACAAAAACAACGACGGTAGAATATAACTGGTAAGTTAAAGGTAGACTGGTACCTGTTTTATGTAGGAACTCTTTCCTCCCATGTTTGGTCCTGTAATGATCATGCAACGATTGCTGTTGACCTACAAAGAGAGCAATCGATAGTCAAAGTGTGAATTGCTAAACACGCAAAGAACCTAGATTCTTCTCCCAAAAACTCTAAGGACAAAGAAGACCGTGATTTTCGCCACCTTTCCATGAATTCTAGTTGTAAGTTCTTTCCTGTGCCCTTGCTTGTTAGGTAAGTGAAAGGAAAAGAAACTACTGATGCCCTCAACGACTAGAATTGCTTGAGTATCCCCATTACAACTGCCACGCTTTTCAAGTTGATTTATTCAATCGCAGCAAGGCTTCCGTTACTGCTGCGCTGTATACGTAGCCAAGCATGTTACTTTATTTTCTGTTCTTGCTCACAATTGCTGCCCTTGCTCATTGACCTCCTGTTAATTTAGAATTCACTTACATCCATGTGAGTATCATTCGGGACGAACTGTTCATTCTCTGAAAGAAGCGTATCCAACACTGGATGTCGTCCTTGTTTAATGTAAATATGGGCTCCACAGTCTTTTACGACAGGCCTAGAACAACAAATCAAGACAGCATGGGTTGTAATGAGTACTAAATTGTCGCTTCCTTGTCAGCTTACGGTTCAGTCTTGCTAAAGTTACTCAATCTCGCCTGATAGGGCGCTCGTAAAATGGGGAGAAGCGGGGAACCCTCCCCTTAAGCTAAACTACTGTGACTCACTAGCACAGAGAAAAGTGGAAAAAGCCGGTACCCACAAATACTCTCTTATCGGATAAGAGAGGCTTCCGTTGTCCTTCAAAACGAGCGTTTCTCAAGCAAACTTGAAGGATATGAAAAGTCTTTTCCACCTTTCCGTGTTAGTCACACTGTTCAGAAGACAAAAAAACTGCACAGTGAGGTTTCAAAAAGGTTTATTCTAACAGAAGGTTTATTCTAACAGAAGGCTTATAAATATAAATGGAAAACACTGATAGATTTCTATATCGAATGTGAAGAAGAAGCTACTAATCCTCGTAATAAACTCATGCACGGTTCATTTTCAGCAACACTTTACATGTTTGTCGAAATGTTTTATTTCGGTAGCAGTATAGAAACGGGTTGAAAATGGAACTTATCAAACCAGTGGTTACCACAACAGGTCAGCTCAGACGTATTACTGTTATAATATATTTACTACTTTTGAAGAAGTTGCGAACAATTATTGTATATGTTGTAGTTCAATTTTATCCTTAGTTCAAATTTTATTTTCCTTTGTTCTCAGTCATGTTAATGTATAATAATGAGTTTGAAACAAAGGAAAATAAAATTTGAACCAAGGATAAAATTGAACTACAACATATACACTAAAAGAGGTATTAAACACAAAAGTAAAGTAGTCATAATAATTCTGGCGGTCTTCAAAGCCTTCTTCTCCGGCTTTCCAAAGTCAGCAGCAGCCTGCGGTGAAATTTGCTCAGATCTGATCCGATTCTCGTGTCGACGGGACACAAAGTAAACAGAAATACGACAGTAAATCATCACAGAAACGTTGATAAATGTGAACGAGGCACGAACTAAGGTGATCGTACGCTCAACTCCATCGACAAGAAAGTGAAGTGGGGCTGGCAAAGAAGCCAAGACCCATGAGATCACGACTGCTGTTGTCAAGTGTCGCGTAGTAACGAGAGTGTTGTAACAAAAGGTGTGTTATATCGCTACAAAACGCTCTACTCTTATAAGGGCGAGATGATACAAAGAAGAGAACACAGGAAGAATGACGATCAAGAAAAAAACCTCTTCGTGTTAGCAGTAATCTTTAAGGGATATGCCTTTTATAACATTAATTTGTGCAGCGATGAAACTCGGTTGGACAACAGTTCCTACCGACAGATCTGTACTTTGCCGAACAAGCCAACAGAACATTAGAAATCGTTTGTAACCTGGGTGTTGTCTTCACTGTCGCGATCACCATCGCATTCATAAGAATTGTCACAGGCATGCTAAGACCATTGATGACGATCGAAATCATAGCCATCCTTGTCCTCTCTCCTTCATAACTGTTGCTTCAAACAAATTTGTTCATAGAACATGACCCGACTGAAATCTCTTCCACTGAGTCTGTGATGTTTATGACTAAAACTGAATCGCAGTATTGATATTTTTTTTTTCCACATTTCAGTATGTATTCTTTTGTACAGAAACTCTTTTTGAGAAGGATATTTAGAGTTTCCCTGACTTGAAAATCCCTTTAGATTACTTTCGGAAAAAGCAAAAAGAATCAAAGAACTTCGGCGGTGTTTTTTTTTTTATAAGCAAGGAGGTAAAACACGGGTTCCGCAAACTATCCGCAAAGAGCTTAAAAACAAATAACATATAATTTCGGAAATACATAGCAACTCAATCTTAAACAAAGGCCAGAATGCAAAGGAAATACAGTGAGGCTCACATAAGCTGCGGCTTTAAGAGGCTGACACTTGCCGCAGAAACGAAGACACATGATGTGCCTCTGCTTCTGCGGTACCTTTGCGACTTATGAAGACTTGTTTCCTCGTATTAATGGCCCAATGCTGTTACTTACATTGAGGCAAATAAATTTTTTCCCACGGAACGTTCGATACCATTTTTGGAAGAGCTTAAAAAAAAAAAAAA